TGAGAATCTGGGCGGCACAAAATAGATTGAAACTTGCCTCATAAAAACCATCCCCGTAACAGAAAAAAGAAAACGCAATTCTCATGAAACCATCCCAGAAACAGAAAAAAGAAAAAAAACGCAACGCCTTCAAACTCGTTACAAACCACAACAGCTTTATCTTCTCACACTCCATGTGAGTGGAGGGACCAGGGCTTCCCTACCTCAGGGTTATGCCACCTTGATCTACAGGGAACAGTTACACTTTTAGGCGAGTCCCAGCTCCGCCTTCCCACTCTATGGTGTTTTGCATAGGAAACCCTGTTGGGAATGGCTCTCGTGCAAATGTTACATGAAGTGCTGTAAGGAACAGTTTATTGAGTCCCTCATAAGGAAAGTGTGTTATAGACCTGCCAACAACAGACAGCAATCTGCTCAGATAATCCTGGGCATTATTCTAATAATCAATGCACATGATTGGAACTGCTTCATCGCATTTTTTAAAATATATTTTTCTATATATTCCTTTTACACTTCGTGTTTTGTAGGGAGTCACTGTGCTGTTTTACAATGAAAGGGTCAACTTGCTCTGCTTGCTTTCCATGTACATCTCGGGACTCATGGAGGGGATTTGTAATATTACTTAACGGAACTCCTAATTGAACCCCCCACCCACCAGAAATTCTGTTTCGGAGAAGTAGATCATGTTGCCATGGACTTCTTCTATGGACGTACTTCTGGTTACTGGAAAGGATCCCCTTTTGTGCAAGATGCATTGGCTGACTCCTTAGACCAACGAACCACAGAGCAGGCAGGACATTGGGCTCACTCATAGCCTTCTGGCCCAGAGGTGAGAGTGCTACCAACTGCGCTAAACTCTAACACAGATTTGTATAACTTTAAGTTTTTCTGCAATAAATCACGCATTGCAACAGAAGGCGCCATTTCTCCGTCCAGAATGCCAGTCAAACATTATCCAGGAAAATTTGTTCCATCAAGCACTTCTCCTAGCTTTCTTACTTTTATTTTTCATCACCATGGTTACCATTGGAATTCCAAAACAGAACCTGTCTAAATTTAGGAATTGGTAAACATACACTAAGCGAGTCCAAGGCTGACAGGGTAAGAGTTCATTCCAATACACGTAACACCTAAAGTGTGGAAACAATAAGTCTCCAACTATGGTAAAATGTATTTCTTGGCTGCTCTCATCTGTTTCTGTGCAACTTGAACTCTGTATCACATGTTAGGCAAATGGACTACTTATCTGGTATTATGCATCTCAGGACTCAAACAATCAAATTGGGAGAGTCTAATTATTGATACTTCTTAAACTGAACTCATACCTTAGCTAGTTTTGAAATCGTTCTGATGGTGACCTATGGCCCTCGTTAAAATAAACATCTAATTTAAGGTCTATCAATGGGTTTGCAATCTGTCACTCTCAATGATCACAGATACCATTCCTAACAATTCTCTGCTGTTGTTAGCTGCGTTTGAAATATGAGCAGTGCAGTAGTGCAGACCTGGAACCACGTATGACCAGGAGAGGCCTGTGATTCCTATTAGTGTAACGTGCAACAACAGCATTCAATTCATAATGGAGGAAAATCCCATTCGAAGCTGACATCAATGTCACTTAATGTCACTACAATTAATGGCAACAGGATGTTCAGCCTTCATTTTGTTTCAGAAAAGACCACCAGGCTCAACAACCTTGCCCTCATTTGACTGGTGTTAACTGGAATGCACTGTCAGCGAAACAATGCTAAATAAATTCTTGCTTACTTGTACAGTACAGTGACTGCTCTGTTACTAACCTCTGGCATTTCTCCACAATAGCTGCTTTATTCAACCACAATGTAACATAACAAGATCACCTTGCGGCTGCTTTTGTCACCAAACAATGGCACCACACTGCCTTTATCTGAGTGGAATTAATATGGAAATCAAATCCACTGGAATTTAAGTTTAGTTTTCTTCCTTCTGCAGAGTGCTGGATTTGTAGTTAACAGGAAATAAACAATAAATATCTTACTGCTAAATAAGTAGAGGTGTGTGGAGTAAGGAGATTTGCCTATGGTTTTGCCCCACCCGGGGGGGAATTGAACCCATGTCCTCTCGCTTGCAAGTTGAGCGCACTAATCGCTGTGATTTCTCTGGTCTTCAACAGACCCTGGAACTAAAATATTAATAAAAATATTAATAAAAATATTAATCACGATCAAAGCAACTTAGAAGCTTACAATGTATCATGCAAAAAAACATCATGGGTGGATCAGAATAGGATGGAGTCCCGTAGCGTAGTGGTTAGCGCCCTTGCTTCACAACTTTATTCACATTTCCTTTCTCCACACGCCTCTGTTTACCCAACAGTAAATAGAAACCAGGTTGTTAGTCAATTGTAATAATTTCTACCCCTGCACCTGGCTCTCTCTCTCTCTGCCCCTGATCTGGCCATTTGATTGTTGAAGGTGTCAAAAAAAAAATTGTCACTACATGCCTGTTTATGGAAGATTGCAATTGGCTGCCATGTTTTGCACCCACTAAAAAAAATCTTAGCAGATTTGTTCTGAATTTACCCCCATTCAATCCCAGGCTGTGTCCTCTGTTTCTATTGTTCATTACAAGAACAAACAGATTATCGTGTTCGACATGGTTCTACAGCTCAGTGGTTAGAGCACTCGCTTTGCAAGCGAGATACCTGAGTTCAATTCCAGGCAGGGCGAAACCTTGGTCAAGTTTCCTTACTCCACACGCCTGATAACAATCCCTTCAAAAAAAAATTGGTCATTTTCAATCCACGACTGTTTGTGGGACACTGCTGTGCACAATTGGCTGTCGCGTTTCGCCCGCAAATGTACAATCAATTCACTTTACAGCATATTCTGTGCAGCGCTTTGAGACGTCTAGAAGACGTGAAAAGCGCTATATGAAATGCAAGGATTATTATTAATATGTTATCTAGTCCCTTTAGAATCTTAAAGACTGTAATTATATTGCCCTCAACCTTCTCTTCTCCAGTGTAGTGGACAGAGCTGCATCTTATATACGAGGAGCTTGCTGGTTTAAAATCCTAATTTACGCTGAGTTTGCTGAGCTGGCTGAGGTTGGGTTGGGAAGATAAATTGGCCCCTGCCTGTTCAGAGCTAAGCAGAGTGTACAGCACCCACTCCTTATTTTACGTGCGCGTGTGTGTGTGCGTGACAGCCGGGTGAAGTCAGGCTCAGCTTTGACACCTTCAACAGTCAAATGGCCAGATCAGGGGCAGAGAGAGAGAGAGCCAGGTGCAGGGGTAGAGATGCCTATTCCAGTGGGGGGAGAATTAGAAAATAATTGGACACTAAATTTATTTTTAGATAATTAGATTGGACAGAAAATTGGAATATTCTTCAGGTGTCTTTTTTTCTGGAAGCTGAAGTGGAGGAGTCCTGTAGAGCACTCAGTGGTTAGAGCGCTCACCTCACAAGCGAGAGACCTGGGTTCAATTCCCGGCAGGGCGAAACGTTGGGCAAGTTTTCTTACTCCACACGCCTGATAATAATCCCTCAAGAAAAAAAAACAATAATAAAATTGGTCGCTTCAATCCAATGACTGTTTGTGGGATACTGCTGTACGCAATTGACTGCCGAGTTTCGCCCATAAATATACAGTCAATTCACGTTACAGTATATTCTGTGAAGCGCTTTGAGATGTCTAGAAGACGTGAAAGGCACTATATCAAATGCAAGGATTATTATTATTAAAACACATAGTCACTACACTTTACAATATATTCTGTGAAGCGCTTTGAGGCACCTCAACGACGCGATAAGACGCTATAACAAAGGATTATTATTATTATTTTGAATTGCTTCTTTTTTTAATGTAGAATAATATAGTAATAATCTGTACGTTTGATATGTCACGTCTCAAAGCTCTTCACAAGATTTTACTGTGAAGAATAGTTACTGTATTTTGTAGGTGTATGCGGTTGCCAAATTACACACAGCAATGTCCCACAAACAACCATGAAACAAATGACCAATTTTATCCATTTTTTATTTTTTGTATAACATAAATTCAAATTAACTATCCTACTCCACTCCAGTTTCCGGTTACCCCAATTTGTTTTAGATAAAGTTAGTGATTTCTCTGACATTTTGGTTGAGGATGAATGCCTCAGTGAAATTGTTAGAATTCATTTTATTTTTTCAGTGGTTCAAGCTATCCAGTTCCTGAGCGTACAGTTTATTTACTGTAGCCATTGTGGTATTTGTGACTATGTCATTTGTTAATGGAATCTGAGAACATATAGAGTTTTACATAGATTTACATGGACCTCACGGCGTGGAAACATGGAAATCTAAATGACCATCTATATCTAAATGCGTAAATGATCGGTAAAGTAGACATCTACAGCTTTCTACATAAATGAGTGTAAGTTTATACATTTTTAAAACAAAGTCAAATTGTTCCAAGCTGGGGTATTGAAATGGATTGAGTTTCCATTGCATTTATCTGCAATAAATCAGTTGGGTGTAAGGTGCAATGTTTTTAGTTGGTTCAATGTCCTACTGTACAATAATAGTTGGTCAATTATTAATGCCTAGTGTGGATGTGAACACATCTCCGCATTGACTTTGGTGGTTGAATCTGGTCAGGCATTGAGTCATTGTTGTAATACTGTAAGTACTAAAGTCTGATTGAAAGTTTTGCACGATCAGCAACAACAACGGAGGCTTTGAGAGTTTTAGATCTGCTTCAGGTCCAAGTGCTTTCAGTGGGTGGATTACACCCATGGCCAGTTCTCAGTCAATCCACTGGAAATTACAGTGTTTCTTCACACATCCGATAACATCAGATCACATTTGGAGTTGCATTGCCTCCTAATCTCATTTATTTGTAATCCACTGAAGTCTTTTCAGTCAGCAAACAGCAGAGAAAATGGCCATTTGAGTTCAGTGAATATAATTGTACAAGGTTTCTGCCCTTGACATGCACTGGCTCTTTTTTTTTTGGTCAGCCGGATGTCTGACACATGTTCTCGAAAAATCATAACCAGATTCTGGCACTTATTCATATTTCCTGTTTGTTTTGCATTTCCGTTGCAGTCGTGGAGAGAGACAGTTTAGCTACTTGCAAAATCCAACTGCCTCCCACAGCTAGTGTAGTTAGAGGGTGTTCAGAGCTCAAATGACATCACACATAAAATCCAAATGGAAGGAAAATAATCCAGCAGGGGAGAAAAATGTCACAATTTATAATTGAACAAGATTGAACAGCATACCCTTCCCTCCATCCCCCACTTTCTTCCAGGACCATCTACTTACTCTCTGGCTCTGACTTTTGGAGTCATGTTAATTTTTAAATCAATTGCAATGGAGATTGGAATACTTCATCACATGGGGTCCCAAAGTAAGTTTGTTGTGGTTGAAACCAGAAAGCAGGGTAATTTCTAAAAAGTATATTTCCGTCCGTTATCAGCAAAATCACACAACTGAGGAGGAAGAGTTACAGTTAATTTCCAACCTATCTTTACTGCGTGTGTAGGAGCCAACTGTGCTTTTGATAGAGTCACGGAGAAGCTTCAAGTTAAATTACTTAATGCAGTGGGGCAGACCGTGAAGCAACAGATCTGATTAAGTGAACATGAGTGCTGTACGTGGTTCCAGTCCACCCAGCAAATACTGGGTTTCTGATGGACAACTGTAAGCATTCTCTTCTGTGAACACAAATACAGTAAGTTCAAAGAAAAGTAATAATAATCCTTGCATTTGATATAGCGCCTTTTCACATCGCTGAAATGACTCAAAGCGCTTCACAGAATATACTGTAAAATGGATTGACTGTATGTTTTGTAATGCAGTTTCTTATGCATAGGAATCTATTATTGTTAATAAATGTTTGATACTTATAGCGGTGAACATTGGAATGCGTTTCTACCTGTAAATTCATAACCACAAATCCTATCTGTGAAATTACTGAACGGAAATTTCTGAGCAGATACCTGGGTCTAGATTAACTTTATTTAGTGTTTTCAGCATGTCCAGAACTCACCAAGTTCTTGAATTATATTGTAAATTGTACACCTATAACTCTATAGGGTAGGGCATTCCACATCTTCACAACTCTGTTTGAAGAAATGCTTCCTGACCTTCATATGAACTGTCTTAGTTCTGATTTCAAGGCTATGAAATAGATCGCTCTACTCGATGGACATTCACCAGTAGGAACTAACATCTAACCGGTCAATTCCTTTCATTGCTTTAAATATCTCAATCAAATTAATGATTTGAGAAACACTGAATTATGAATCTTGTATGAAACATTGCTCCCCGAACTAAAAGGCCAATTTCAAACGAATACTGCCTTAAAATTCTATAGACATTTGTAGATTTGTTAACAAAGTTGTTTGTTTTCCATTTGTTCTGTTTTCAGAATCAAGCAAATGAAATGTTATTTCTAAAAACACAATTGATCAGTCTTCACATTTTGCTTCACTTCTTTGTAACTACAGGTAAGAACAATCTGAGCCTAATATATAAGAAGGATCACATTTTGCGTTAAAGCATCGATAAAGCAAAGAGTAAGAAAGTAACTTTGATGCACTATGATTTTGATGTTAAATTAATCTGGATCTGGATTGTGTAATTTATGTTGTTGAATGCTATACAGTGACATTTGCTGAAAAATATGTGTCAAATGTGTGTACAGTTTGCATCAAACGAGGATAGGATTAGTCTAATCTGAAACTGACACGTCCTCCGGATTGAACAGTCAGCCAACATTTACTGCCTGTTCGCACATGAAAAAGAGCCAATTAGGGACTGACAGTGAATCAGAATGTGGCTACAGTGTGTGGAAACACAATTCAGCACATCAGCAATTTGTGAAGTCCTGTAGCTCAGTGGTTAGAACACTTCCCTCACAAGCGAGAAACCTGGGTTTGATTCCCAGCAAGGAAAAATGTTGCGCAAGTTTCCTTACTTACTGTTTACCCATCAGGAAGTAGGAACCCGGTTCTATATCAATTGGCGGATCTCTTTTCCTAGGGTAATAATTCTTTAAAAGTTAATAAATAACAATAATAAATTGGTAACTTCAATCCACGACTGTTTGTGGGATACTGCTGTGCATAATTGGCTGCCGAGTTTCGCCCACAAAATATACAGTTAATTCACTTTCCAGTATATACTGTGAAGCGCTTTGGAATGTCTCGAACAAGTGATAAAGCCCCATATCAAATGCAAGGATTATTATTATTTAATTTCAAAGAGAAGAGGAGAGTGTTTCCTCAGTAGGTAAAAAGAAAAGATCAAAGAGTTTTACCAATTTGAAAATACAGTAACTTGAATAATTTGAAATTGACTGCATGTTTTTATGCTGTCATTCAGGTGAAACATATAACCGAGGTCTAAAATAGTCAGTTGCTTCACTTCACGGTGATTGCTATAAAGCATTTTGAGAGGTTTTGAAGTGAGGTGCCATAGAGTTCAATTCCAGGCAGGGCGAAACCTTGGGCAAGTTTCCTTACTTCACACGCCTAATAATAATCCCTCCAAAACCCAAAACAATAATAAATTGGTCATTTTCAATCTACGACTGTTTGTGGGACATTGCTGTGCGCAATTGGCTGCCGCGTTCGCCCACAAATATACAGTCAATTCACTTTACAGTGTGTGTTCTGTGAAGAGCTTTGGGACGTCCTCCCGACGTGAAAAGCGCTATATCAAATGCAAGGATTATTATTATTATTATTATAGAAGTAAAAGTTCCTCTCATATTGGCAGCTGTGGCAAGTAATCTGTGCCAGCAATGCCCCACGAATAACAAAACAAAATTGTTAGTTATTCTGTTTTGAAGGGAGTTTGGATAACTGCGATCTCTTAGCCAGGACGACAAGAACAAACTCCCAACTCTTCTTTGCATTTATCTGTATTATCAGGTAATCTTACAGTTTTGTTTGATCACACGATTATATTGACCGGTGATGGAAATTTTCTGTTCTTGTTTCATCCACAGGAGAATGCAGCAACTTGTCGGTCTGGCAAACACCCTCTGTCATCACAGCACTAAAGGGAGAGACTGTGAATATAAATTGCTCTTTCAGCGCTGGAAATGTAGGTCAACTAAAAATTAAATGGAAAAGGAATAGCACTGGAGAAGTCCGATATCTATATGTTTTAAGTTCAAATGAAACAAACAGTAGTAGTTCTGAGAATCGACTGACACACGTCAGTGATGTTGCCAAGAACACATCGACTTTAATAATCCGTGACCTTCATTTACGTGACTCTGATCTCTACATCTGTGAGGTTCTTCTTCAGATACCTCCTCCTATTAGAAAAGTACAAGGTAAAGGAACGTACCTGAAAGTGGAAGGTGAGATATGGTTTCACTATTCAAAACTTCTAAGTGTTTATCACTTGCCGTTTTAACATAGTTTCTGTTTGACAGCCAACATTTTCAAAACAAACTGAGGAGAGGAATTGGATAGATTGTCTCAATCAAATAAATAATAATAATCTTTATGCTTTTCACGTCGGGGAGGATGCCTCAAAGCGCTTCCCAAAATATATTGTAAAGTGTAATGATTGTAAAATCATTGTAAGGCAAACACAGCAGCTAATCTGTGCACAGAAATGTCACACAAACAGCCATGAAGTGAATCATCAATTTTATTTGCTGGGGATTGTTAGCCAGGACGCTGAGAAAAACTACTTTCTCTTTTTAAATACTGTATTACCGTGGGATCTTTGAAGTCCATCTGAACAGGTAGACGAGGGGCATGGTTTTATGTATCACTCCTAAGCACGGCAGTTTCGACAATGCCACACACCCTAACCTTGAGTTCCAAGGCCCAACCTCGGGCAATTTTATCAGATTAGTTTTGGTCATGGATTGATAATGCGATATGCCTGTAATTCAGCACTAATTGACAATCTCACTCAGGTGGATCGTATGGAAAGTAAAAAAAAACACAAAGGATTTTTACAATCTAACACCTCACTGCATGACATGGAGCACATTGCAGCGAAGTGTGATTTCCTCCGCATTTGTTCCATCATTTGTTCCACCCAAGGTCTTTGTTGCTGACATTGGAGTGGATAAATTAGGATAATATTCCATCCTCAGCTTTAGCATTCCTTTTATTGAGAAATTCACCCCATCCACCTAAAAAAAAGCTTTGAAGATAGAAAGCACACACACACACACACAAACACACACCACACACACAAATACACACAAACACAGTAATCTGCCCCATGCATCTTGATTAAAGAGCACTGAAGTTCCCATCATTTAACTCTAATTGTAAGTGGGTTTTCAGTGGTGGCAGGTTCCAGCCTCGAGCAATTTCAATCGATAATGTACGGAAAAATAGATTCCTCAACTCTGGAGGTTAGCTGTTAGTAATATATGCCAATAGGAGGACTGTACTAGCTTTAAAAGTCGATTAATCTGAAAGTCATAATGTGAGGAGAGACTAAACAAATTGAGTCTACTTTTATTGAAATAGAAATTAATGAGTGACAATTTCATTCAGGATTACGCAATGCCTTTGACAATCTCGGCCACTAAAGGAATCACTGATCCCCAAAGGCACTGTAAGTAATGCAGAATGGAATTTTACCTCTTAGAGGGGACTATATAGAAAGAAACCTGCTTTGATAGAATGAAAATTATTCCCACTGGTTTTTGTATTAATAAAAAATGGGGCATAAACATAACATTATCACAAAAGAGTTAAATTAGATGTTGGAAGATTATCTTTTGAGACAGTAAAAATAATAATAATCCTTACATTTGGAATGGCACTTTTCATATCGGGAGGGCATTTCAAAGAGCTTCACAACTTTTGCTGTAAAGTGAAGTGACTGAGTACATGAACTGTGTGTATGAACGCGGAAGTTTTATCCATATATGGCCATTGAAGTTAAAAACAAAACAACATTTAAAAGAGAATTGAATAAACCTTTTAAGAGTTTCAATGTAAAAGGATTCACGGAAAGAGCAGGGAATTGGGGTTAGAACATAGAAGAATATAGAGACGCTAATATCAGCACAGGGCCATTGGGCCAAATGGTTTGTTTCTGAACTGTAATTTCTATGATTCTATGAGGACTACAAACATTGTTAAAAATGGAAGAAATGTTTAATAAATGTTCTTTTGTTTTTCAGCTCGTCCAAGAGTCGAGTTAAGAGCAGAGGTTCTGCCTTCGCCAAATGGTAATAAACAGCTAGTCTGTGTATCACAGGAATTCTATCCTCCCGATATTCAGATATCCTGGTTTGAGGATGGAAAGTTAATTACCAATGAGACACATAATGGGACTCTCCAACATAACATTGATGGGTCTTTCTCCATCACCAGTATCCTGAAGCTTTCAGCATCTGATTGGAATGAAACAAAAAATTATTCTTGCCATGTGAATCACTCGACACTGTCTGCACCCATCATTGAACGGATTTCTGTGAATCATCACGGTAGGAGAAATGCATGTTTTTATATCACAACTATTTACATAAGATGCAATTTGCCTCCTTACTGGAGGAGAAATTATGCTTCATATGTCGGGGTGTGTTTGCAATACCTAGCTAACCTCTGCTCTAATTGCATAATAATCCAACCGAAACTTAGTACATAAGGAGAAACTATTTCCGTTGGTCGGTGAGTCAGTTAATAAAGGGCATCAATCTAGTATCAACAGCAATAAAAGAAAGGGAGCGTTTAGAAGAAATTTTACACAAAGAGGGTTAATGTTTGAAGCAGAATCCACAAGAGATTTTAAGAGATTTAGATAAATATTTGAAGAAGAAAAGTATAAAAATGTATGGGGAAAGAGTAGGCAATTAAATAGTTCATTCTTTCAGAGAGCTGGCACAGAAATGAGCACAGGACAGAATGAACTCCTTCTGTGCTGTGAAATACTAGAATTCTTTGAAATCATGAAGCCAGGAACTATAGCAATGCAGAGTGAGTTCATTTTCAAGCAATATTTATCAGGAAAATTGTGTTTTACATTTTGTATTACCGACCTGATTATGTAATACTACCGCTAATAATTGCTGCATTTAGTTTGGTGTATTTTATGTCAGGAGATTTCTATCAGGAAATAATATCTCGGGATACAATGTATAGTTTAGGACACAACATGTGCATGCAACTGCTAGGATGGTGGAAGGCGAACTGAATGGACTTTGGTCTTCTTCGCCAAGCGAATTCCTATGTTGTTATGTAGGAAGGCATCTCAAAGTGCTTCAGAAATAAACTAGAGTGTAGTGACTGTGTAATTTGTACGTGATTATCACAATGTAATAATTATCACATACAAGTGCTGCAGCGCCCCACCACGTAGACCACGTGATTGCACCTGTAGGCAACTATTGGCAACTATCGGCGGGCGGGCCTTCTGCCACTCTGCACCCATCCTCTGGAACTCCATCCCGCAGTCCCTCCGTCTCGCCCCCTCCCTCGCACAAGACCCACCTAAAGACCCTCCTCTTCGACCGTGCTTTCGATCTCCCTGCTTCACCCCCCCCTTGGGACGTACTCTCGACGTGGAAGGCGCTTTACAAATGTAATTTTGTTGTTGTTGTAGGTAGATTCATGCTCAACCATTGTGACAACCTTATTAATGACTGACTCCCCCAGATCTATCAATAATACAGTATCACCAGTGAGAATTAACACATCACACTGCAATTTTCACTCCATTGGGGGTTATTGATAGAAAGTCTACTTTGTGGGTACAAAGCCAGTGCTGCATTTCATTCATGCCGTCAATGATTCATTAACAGATCCTGGTAACTTTGGTTGGCTGTGGATGATAATAACCACCAGCATTGTAATCTTAGTAGTTGGAGCTGTGGTGGTTGTCGCACTTCGTAAATACTCAGCTTCAAGTAAGTTCTTACCTCTTTATACCTTTTTGGGGGTGGGGGTCAGCCTGGTGCCTAATATGTGCAGAAACCCATCACTGTACTTAAGAGTATCCAAACCAGACTGAGAGTTCCATGTAGGTGTGCCACCTACACATGTGAATTTTCTTGTGTCTGTGGTGCTGGGGTACTGCTGGAGGTTAACCAGCAAATGCAATGTATTGATACAAGTGCTGCAGCGCCCCATCACGTAGACTGAAAGTGTGATTGCACCTGTAGGCAACTATTGGAAACTATCGGCGGGCGGGCCTTCTGCTACTCTGCACCCATCCTCTGGAACTCCATCCCGCAGTTCCTCCATCTCGCCCCCTCCTTTGCCACCTTCAAGACCCACCTCAAGACCCTCCTCTTCGACCGTGCTTTTGATCTCCCAGCTCCCCCCCCCCCCCCACCAGCCTGGGGAAAGTACTGGCAAGCTTCCCACTTATTGTCCAGCTAGGACCACTTCATCCTTAGGGATTTGGCTTGCACAGGAGCTGAGGTGGAAAAATCCCTGCTCCTAGTATGCTTTAGCTTTTATTGAGCTATTTCTTTCTAATCAATGGGGTCTAAGTACAGTGATTTCAAATGGAATTCCTTAACCAAGCAATCTTAACTAGTGTCTCATCAATTCAATCTGACTTGGCCAACTTTGGGAAGAGAATTCCTAAGAGTTGATGTGACGTACTTTGGGTTACAGGAAGGACTTTCCTGCTCAGATTCTTTAAATAGGGAAATAAGGATTAATTATTGAAGGTGTTCTCTTTGAAGTCCCCACACTTTAGGCCAAAACATATCCATTCCAGGCAATCCAGTCTGCACCCTGCACCTTAGAGTTGAACTGATATTAATTTAATTTTGAAACAAGTGTTCCTTGCTGCAGTTGATCCCATTTATGCATTGCAACTTCTATAATTCTATCAGATAAACCACAATAGACTTTAGTAAATGTCTGATCTTCTTCCTCCTCCTCCTTCATTTGCTCCAGAAACAAAACCTCCATCACCCAGAGAAATAACACCGAAAGCTGAACAAGGTGCGAGAGAGCCAGTACAAGAAGCAACCAGTAATGAAGAGTTTGGCATATACACATTACTCGGTCAAAGACTGCCTTTACCTGTTTAAACAAGCAATCTCTTTTACGTTACGAAATGGTCAAAAGTCATGCTTCATGTTTGCAAGACTCTGATAGTAGAGCTGCTGAAGGATTGCATCTATTTCCCTAAATTGATGTTTTACAGACTCTTAACTTATTACTTCACATACCAAGACTACATGACCTGCCACAGAATGCCAGATACTCTCAGGCTCGACAGCACTAAATTGCATGATCCTCATATATGTAAAATAAAAGTCATGTATTACGACGGTACCGGTGTTGGAAAAAACAAAATAGTTATGAAAATGAGATACGCAACAGGTAGTTTATCTCGCTACTCCCAGGGTCCAGTCAGTGCCTTGGGACATGAAAAACGTTGTACAAATGTAATTTTGTTGTTGTTTTTCTGCCTCTCTCATGCGTCCAGTACATTGGGAATAGACTGACCGTACTCAACTGCACCAAGTCAAACATTAATGTACTATTACTACAGTTTGTGTGTCAGAGTTCGTAGCAACTTCCCTTTAAGTCCAAAGGTTGTGATTTCAAGCCCCACATCAAAAATTGGTCATTTCACTTCAATGGATTTTTGTGGGACATTGCTGTAATTTGGCTGCTATATGCACCTATAAATAAGCAGTCATTACTCTTTACAGTATTCCTGTGAAGCACTATGAAACATCCTCCTGACCTTAAAGGCAAAAGTATAGTTCTAACAGATGCAAGGATTATATTATTATATTACTAAAGAATTGCAATACTTCATCCATACATCTACAGAGTTTGCAATTCAGTAAATCATTGATTACATTTTGATTCTTATTGTTATTGGAAAGATGGGAAGTCTTCAGTCTGTCAGAATTAGCTTTGTTCAGTTGGCATTGCACTTTGTTGGAGGTCAGAAGGTTGTAGGTTCCAAAGCCCACCTCCAGAGTTTACGCTCACAGTCTCGTCTGATACTCCAGTGCAGTGTTGAAGGCATTGCATTGTGAGAGATGCTGTCCTTGGGATGAAGCTTTAAACGTAGGTTCCACCTGCCTGTTTATATGGATGTTAAAGATCCTATTACATTTATGGTAAAAAAGGAAATATCTTGGTCAACAATTATTCAGGTAACAAAAACAGAAGTCGCTGGGAACACTCAGCAGGTCAGGCAGCATCTATGGAGAAAAGAAAGTGAGTCAATGTTTCGGGTCTACACCGCTTCGTCAGAACTGATTCCTGAACTCTTCAGGTAAATTGATCATTCCTTTCTGGTTTGTTTATGGCAAATGCTGTCAAGTTACTTGTGAAGCACTTTTTGACATTTTAGGTGCTAAACAAAATCCAAGGAATATTCTTATTATTATCAAAGCAGACCCTGTATTACGTGTAGCAAATGACGGTAAGCATCATTAAGTTTAATGTAAAATATAAATTTTAATAAATTTTAAAAATCGTTACCTGTCGAAACTCAAGTCAGAACATCAAATTCAGCACATCTAGGCTCGACTACGCCAACTCCCTGCTTGTCGGCCTTCCCAACTCTTCCTCCTGCAAGCTGCAAATCATCCAGAACTCTGGAGCTCGTGTCCTCTCCTGTACCAGGCTCCATGACCCCAACACCCCAACCTTCACCCGGCTCCACTGGCTCCGCAACCCCAGGAGAATAGAGTTCAAAATATTTGTCCTGGCCTTCAAAGCCCTCCATGGCCTTGCCCCTTCCTACCTCTGTGTCCTGCTAAACCAATATTAGCCTCTCCCTCCAGCCTGCTCTACATCTCCCGCCTGGCCCACCCCACCAGAGGCGGTCGGACCTTCAGTTTCTCTGCCCCACCCTTTGGAACTCCATCCAATATTCCCTTTGCCTCGCTCGATCCCTTGACTCCTTCAAAGCACATCTAAAGACCCACCTCTCCGACTACGCCTTTGGCCACCCTCCTACCCTCCCTGCCCTCCACCCTCGCTGATCCCAACACCCACACGCCTCCACCCCCACTCGGGTCCAAATCCTTACTGTTCAGTGCCTTGCGACATCCTCCCAACGTGAAAGGCATTATACAAATGTAATTTTGTATTGTTTTGTATCATAGCTTACACCCACAAGCAGGTGAACCATATGTACGTATCTACATACCTACTACACATCAGCTTTCCCTCCATGGATCAGCATTACAATGTATGAACTTATACAACAATAATAATCCTTGCATTTGATTTAGCGCCTTATCACATCTTCGAGACGTCTCAAGGCGCTTCACAGAATATACTGTAAAGTGAATTGACTGCGTATTTTGTGGGTAAAATGCTAGTGTGTTCCTAATAGGCTAGCAGGACCACAATAAAAATATTATCATAAATGCCTTGCCCAGTAAAAACATTCTACAAATGTTGAATTGTGAAATCGTTAAACTGGATTGGCAACTGGAATATGTTGTAATAATACCCAATGAGATCAAAGTACAAACATTAAAGAACAAGAGAGAAGTGAGGAACCTGTTGGAAAAAGAAAACGATTGAATATGTAAGTACAGGAGAAGAAATGTATTCAGTAATGTTTAATAAGCGTACCTTATTAAACATGTGTTTAGGTTAGTTGTTAATGTAGTGTATAACTTTTAATGTAGTGGCACAACTTTTTCCCTAGACTTTGATTCACCAGTACGTGTTCAGGTGCCAGGATTGCTGTGCTAACGGCAGTGTTACTGTAGTGTTTTACTGGTGCTCAGAGACACAAATATAGTTTTTACTACGTTAAACAGATTTGTCCTAAGGGTGCTTTGAGATGTTTCAGCGACATGAAACTTTTCCACAGGACTTTGATTCACAGTACGGGTTCAAGTGCCAAGACAGTTGTATTAAAGGCGGTGTTTTACTGACACTCAGAGCCGCAAATATAGTAATATAGTTTTCATCATGTTAAGGGTGTTTTGAGATGTTTCAGCAACATGAAACATCTGAGCTGCATTATCATGAACAAGTATTATCATTAATTCAGAGCATCCAATGTTCACTGGCAGAAACTAATATTACAACAAGGGGAGGGGAGACAAGCTTTCTATCCATCTTACCACATCAAAAGGTGTTTCTGTGCACAGTTTACTGCTGCACTTTGTCCAAAAAATAGAGTCAATCCACTTTACAGTATATTCTGTGAAGCGCTTTGAAAAGTATCAACGTTGCGATAAGGTGCTACATCAAATGCAAGGATTATGATTATTATTATTATTATTGCTGTCAAGTGTAGCGGCTGTTTTTGTAGGGTCCACATTGGTTTCCTCAGTCAGAGCATTTCCAGTTCAAAAAAAAGCAATACAAACTTAGTTAGTAATATTTGGTACAAGATTGGTTACAGAAAGAGGCAATGTGGAATCCTGCAGCTCAGTGGTTAGAGCACTCGCTTTGCAAGTGAAAGACCTGGGTTCGATTCCCGGCACGGTGAAACCTTGGGCAAGTTTCCTTACTCCACACACCTGATAATAATCCCTCAAAAAAACAATAATAAATTAGTCACTTCAATCCATGACTGTTTGTGGGACACTGCTGTATGCTGTATGTATTGGCTGCTGCATTTCGCCCACAAATATACAGTCAATTCACTTTACAGTCTATTCTGTGAAGCGCTTTAAGACGTCTAGAAGATGTGAAAAGCGCTATCTCAAATGCAAGGGTTATTATTATTATTATTTATGTTTCTGAATTTGAGGCCGTCCACAAATTCTTCTTGCTAGTAAGTGTAAGGATTTTGACAGGGTGTGGAATGTGGAACTTCTCACCCTAAGAATCTGAACCTCAGTGAAAGACTAATGTGCAGAGGGGAAGTAACCTATTCCCCCAGAAAAACACCAATAAAATGAATTTGACTGCATGAATATAGATCCATGATTTCACCTACAAATACACAATTATTACATTCTACAGTAAAATCCTTGAAGCGCTTTGAGACCTTTCAACGACTTGATAAGGCGCTGTATAAAATGCAAAGATTATTATTACTAATATTATGATGCCCCAGATTATTATGAATAATAATATGGAGCATCAAACTGCTATATTTGTTACATACTTTTCAGTTTCCAATCCAAAAATATCATGTACTACATGAGACATTAAATCTCATGACACACTGTACTTTTACTCTCTGAACTTCAACTTTTTTATGCTTGCGAAAGTTAATATCTAATCTAATCTAGGTTAAGCAGAATAAAGATTTCATAGAGTAGGCTCTAAAGGTGTGCCCCCAAAAAATTGGCAAAATACAGGGCTAACAAATCAATGTCAAGTCATAAATTTCAAAACGCGCATATTGAATTTATTTGATTTGTAGTAATTCATGCCAAGCCTCAGCATCCAGCCTTAGTGTTCTTTAGTTATTGGTGTTTTGATTTTTGACTTGTTCTGCCAAATAAAATGTTTCCCAAGATTAAGATGGAAACAAACCAATCTGCTGTCATTTCTGGTATAAGTGACTTGACAAACCTATGTAAAGGCGGTGGGTGGCTAGGACTAGAATGGGCTCGGCCCCACTCCCCCCAATCTATCTACAGCTCACCTCTTTAAGGGGAGATGTGAGGGGAAGGACCTCAGATGTGAGGAGGACCACGGTCAGTCCTCCAAGGACCTTGTTGTGTGCCATTTGTCTGCTGCGTTTGCCTGCATATAAACAGTCACCACACTTGCCATCAATTAGTTTGTTAACTACTTTGAGGTTTGGATATTGCATCAAATGCATGGATTATTATTAGCAAATAGGTTTGACTTACAGTAAAATACTTAGCAGTCAAATGTTGCTCACTCAATGTATCTGCAATCACCTCTCTCTTCCCCCTCCCTCTTTCCCCTCTCTCTCTTTCTCTTCCTGGAGTCCTGGAATGTATTGGTTAGAGCACTCGCCTGGCAAGTGAGAGAACCCAGTTTCGATTCCCAGACAGGTTGTGCCACATTCAATAAATGCTGAACCACCAAACTCAAATCCCTATCTATCCTTAGGCAAATTCCCTACATGGCTCTGTTTATCTAGCAGTAAGTAGGAACCCAATTGTTGGTCAATTCACAGATCGCTTTCCAGGGGTTGTGCGCAATTGGCCTCCACGTTTCGCCCACAAAGTATACAGTCAGTTCACTTTACAGTATATTCTGTGAAACATTGAGACGTCTCAATGACTTGTTAAGGCGCTAGGATTATTATCACAAGGATTATTATTACTCTACATGTTCTTTTGATGACTTCACAACATTTCAGTAAATGCTAAATAATCAAACTCAAATCCCTATCTTTCTTTATCTACCTTTTCCGAATGACACTCCTGCAATAAACCCATGTGGAACTCCACAAGTTCCCCAACCTGGAAAGGTCATTTTTAATTTGTCGACACCTGCTGATAGAAATGATTGTGTCCCATGAGGTTTTTGGTCATCTCAGTCTGTGTCTATCCTCATATTTGTCAACATTTTTACCAAGCAGACACATCTAGTTATTTTTTAAATTGGAGTTCACCGAGGCACTATCAAAAAGGAACCGAAATTGTATGCGTGATTTGGGACAGATGAAAATTACACAGAAGAACAGCAATGACTTACTTCATGCCCTTCGCATAGAATGCTGTTTTGGATAGCTTTACTGTGATGGGGCACATGCTGAACAGAGGGAAGTACTTACACCAGAACTTGAGATTATTTAACTATTCACAGTTCAGCGTTCATTATTTACAATATTTACATGGAAAACATATATTAAAAACAAGAAACTATTGATTATGCTGTGCAAATAAAACATCTTAATCCCAGCATTGCACCTGGGTTATTTGTTTAGTAGTTGCTATATAACACCTAGGGTTGTGTTTGCTTTGGATTTCTTGCTATGCAACAGCTGCAACAGCATAACCTGTTATACTAAATACAGCGAAAATCCTCATTCTTGCCTTTGTTATTTCCTGACTCAACTTCTCACAGTGACTCATGCGACTCAACTTGTCAAATCAAGGCTCGATTATGGAAACTCCCTCCTCATCGGCCTTCCCAACTCTTCCCTTCACAAGCTGGAGATCATTCAAAACTCTGCAGCTCGCGTACTCTCGCGCACCAGGCTCCGTGACCCCATCACTCCCACCCTCGCCCGACTCCACTGGCTCCCCATCCCTCAGAGGATCGAATTCTAGATCCTCGTCCTCACTTTCTCCGCTTGGCTGATTTAAACTTGCTGGCTTCCAAACAAAGACTGATTTTAAGATTTTTTCACAATTCTATAAGATTTGAGACAAAATCATCTTAAAGGTTAAGATTAGGGAAAATTCCAGACCCCCTGTGTCTTCAAGTGACACTGTCTTCATCGTGCTCAGGAAACGTTTTGCATTTGTTAAACCACGTGACATAATGATGTAAAACATAAATTAAAAGTTTTTTTTAGTCTATCATTCATTAAGTGTGCCCAAACTCTCAGTACATTATTGCAGGTCAATATTGAATTCTAAATGAAAGGATTTCAGAAGGGAGTTTCTCCCAATGTCCTGGTCAATAAATCCCCTAAATAAAATTGGTCACTCACTCCATGGCTGTTTGTGGGACATTGCTGTGTGCAACTGGCTACAGCATTCACCCATAAAATACACAGTCTACTTTACAGTATAACCAGTGAAGCGCTTTGAGAATCTTGTTGCCGCGAAAAAGCATTATAATAATAAATAATAATACTCAATGCACACCGTTGAGACGTCTCAAAGCGCATCACAGCCTATACTGTAAAGTGGAGTGACTATGTATTTTGTGGGCGAAAAGTGACAGCCAATTGCGCACAGCAGCGTCCCACAAACAGTCGTGGATTGAGTGACCACATTATTATTATTTATTATCGAAGGCAAGTATTATTAATATTATCTCTTTGCTATTACTTGAATAAGTAACTTTCAAGCTTTAATTTTCATCAAGTAATTTGTAATTGAATAATTTACTTACATTACATGTAAAAGTATTTCACCCACAGAATACACAACATCACATCACTTTTACAGAATATCGTGTGAAGTACTTTGAGACATCTTGGTCACATGATAAGATGTCATAGCAAATTAAAGGATTATTATCATTTATTATTAAGTCTATTTGCTCAATTTAGAATCACCAAGTCAAAGGTGTCATTTTATGTCTCTCTCCTTCATTCAGAAATCCGGTGCAGCTTCAATGTGATAACGTTATTCTTAAGAAGGATGATTCCTGAAGTTAAGCTGCCTCTCTGCACTAAGAGGCAAGATGCGGGTTTTTCACCTGTGTAGGCTTTTTTGTGATGATATGGTAAGAAATTCGGTTTCTCTATTTTACTTTATTGAAAGCCTTTTAGATAACAGCCCAGCTCAGTCAATTGCACTCTCGCCTCTTATTCGGAAGGTTGTGAGAATTTTGAGCAATTAATCAATGTCAGGAGAACCTACGTTGTCGAAGGTTAAGTTTGTTTTGAACTTCTTGATGTTCCATTTTGCCTGCTCAGATAAATGTTGAAGATTTCTGTGCCATGTCCCCAATCATTTATGTGTGCAGAGCTAAAATATAGCTGATAAGGTATAAGCCAAACAAGTCAAGCATTTTAAACATACCCATTCTTCTGTCTAATTTAAGTTATACAATTTTGTTTCACTTTTAGAATTCAAACTGTACATACTGTGAACTGAAGGAACCAGAGATATGTTCCATCAAATATTTTCCATCTGCATTTTCTTACAAATTTCAAATTCAGGTGAGTGCAACATTTCACTATTTTTGCAGTATTTGTATGTTGACAACTCTAGGGCAACAATGAAGCATCATTAACTGTATGAGAAATTGAAAATGACAGTCTCATGAAGTAACTGGCCCGTTTGCCTAACAGTTGAGTTTAACTATCTATTGTAGAATTATGGTTCCTGTCCGTGCCAATGAAGGATAAAAAACTTTTTATTTGTGGGTTAGTATTAACAGATCAGTGATGGTGTTTCATTTCTGGTATCCCAGGTTATGTAGTCTTCAGGTAACCAGTTTGATGGTTGCTTTGTGGTATAGAAGAGCTTGATGTGTTTCCCTGATGTTGAAGTGTCAGTTCCTCGTGGCACAGTTAGGTCTGCATTGAGTTCCTGTTACTGTGAAGGCAACTTGGCCAGATGCTTGATAGTATAATACATGCTGTGTTGAATCTCTAATCGTTCAGTTGGGCCCGTCTCAGATGCCGAATAGCTACTGCTTCAAATTCCTTATATCACAGAAGTGAGTGTGTATCCAATGTTTCATAGTAAGTTTTTTTTTGGTCAGTCGGGTGGGTGTCTGACACATGCGGAAACCCATCACCATGCTTAAGAGTATCCAAACTATACAGTAAGTAAGTTGAAGCAGTCATTTACTTTGGGACACATGGAGCTGGCACACAGTTACTGAGATTATGAGATCTCAGTACTACTGAGATTTGCTTTCAAAAACAAAATAATAAGAACGTCATTCATATTATGTGTCAACTGAAAACTGTAACCTGAATTAGCCAGGGTGCTAAAAATGTAAAATTTTTGTGCAGATCATTAAACATACGTTTTGTCTGAAAATGTATCCTTCTTTACAATATTTGAATTTATTTCAATAATAAGTAATATTATCTATTCTAGATAATGTTTCCAAACAAAAAAAGGGTTAATTTGTTTCACTTGATTTATTTCAGTTGGCTACATCGTTGGTGTTATTTCCAAAGATGTTATTCTAAATTGTCAATTTGGCCCAGCTAACTTGGATGATATAATAATTCACTGGACTCAGGGACCCAGGGTTGTCCACAGCTTTTATCGAAGTACTGATCAGCTTGCCAAGCAAGCAGAAGCCTACCGAGGAAGAACCAAGCTGTTCACCAGTGAAATCAGCAGTGGCAATGGATCCCTTCTTCTTTCAAGCATTGATATTACTGATGAAGGAGAATACAACTGTTATGCCAGCACACCAGATGGAAAATATGAAAACAAGGTTCCGCTAAAAGTAGGAGGTGAGAAACATGCTATTGATTACTGCAGTAAAGGTTTGGGAACACAAATTACACAATTAATTGTTCCCTTGCCTACACAAAACACAAAATACTGCAGATGCTGGAAATCTGAAACAAAAACAGAGAGAGCTGGGAAAACTCAACAGATCAGACAGCATCTACGGAGAAAGGAAAGTGAGTCAACTTTTCAGGTCCACGATCCTTCGTCAGACATCCCTTGCCTACTCCTATTTGGTTGCATCTGCATGTTACTGCGGTAACAGTGCAGGCAAGTATGAATAATGAACGCATTTGGTATAGGATCTTTCCCATCAGGAGGATGTCTCAAAGTGTTTTGCTGTATATATTTTAAAGTGGAGTGTGAATGTGTTCTGTGGGCAAACGTGGCAGCCAATTTGCGCATGGCAATGTCTCACAAACAGGCATGGAGTGAATGGTCAATTTCATTTGGGGGATCGTTGGCCAAGACAATGGATAGATTTTAAAGTATCTCAATTATATGCACAAGCCAAAAATTGTATTGCTTTCTTTCAGCGGAATATCGCAATTTGTTACTGACCCCTCCAAATATGCTCTCTGTTGAGACTATGCCTGCATCTCTTAGCTGTTCAGCATCTGGGGGCTATCCAAACTTTACACTATTATGGCAGACAGTAAGGAACGACGGTATGGATGAGAAGAATACCATCACACCCATGGATGAGAAGACGACCATATCTCATGATACAAAAGGACTTTTTATAGTTCGAAGCGATTTGAATATTATGCAAACATCAAATCGAACCTACAAATGCAATATTAAGAATGATCTCCTAAATCAGTCATGGAATGGGTCCTGGAAGATGCAAGGTATTGATTACTTAATATTCACTGAAAACTTCAAAAGTGTTGTTTCATGTCAAAATATTGCAGCCCTATTGGGATTTGTGTGGGAGTTGATTAGTAAAAACATGTTCTTTTCTTCTAACTCCTTAATGCTTTTTTGTACATAATCCAGGTTCATATGAGGGAGAAGGGAATAAAAAGTTATTGGAGAAGGATAAAAAGGGATGGGAGGCTTACGTGGAGTAAAATTTCAGCACAGACTCATTGAATTCGCTGGACCTGTTGGGTCAAACAATGCTTTCATTGTTTCAATGTTGTACAGTTGTAATTCAATTGGTTGACAAAATATTTTATACTGCGTGATATTTGCTAAATTTTGAAAACGATGAACTTATTTAAACCCAGAGCCTTTTGGCTCAAAGTCCAGTGTTCCACTGACTGCCATATATTTTGCTAATATGTTGTTATAATTTATTATGAATGCTATTCAATGTTTCGTTAACTGTACTAGCTATAGTCTGTTGAAACACAATATTTAATTGGAGGGAGAGCTACGAGACTTGTAATATGATAATTATCACTGATGATATTTGGCCATCATCAGTTTTGGTAAACATATAAATCCTTTTTCTTATAATGTAACTATTTGCTATGCATTAAATATTTCTCTTTTGTTGGGAAGGCACACAGGATGGAAAAGTGGGGCAAGACATCACACTTCACCACATTTATTCCAATAATGATTCTTCAGACTTGGCAATAACATGGAGATTTAAGAACACAGAGAACTCCTCTTCAGTAATACTATGTGAATTGAAGGGCCAAAAGAGTACAGAGGATGCAAAGTGTGGGGACAAACCTTCAACAACAGAAAATGAATGGAATGTCTCCCTTGTATTGCACAATGTAACTTTACAAGATTCAGGAGAATACACGTGTGAAATCACATCCAAGAGTTCAACGCAACTATTCACCAATATTCTAAAACTAGGTAAGTTCTTCATCAATTTTACAATCGATTATGCTTTAACTGTCTGCTTGATGAGTTACATCCTCTTGGTAAAGATTACAAGAAAAAGTGGGAAATGGAAGAAAAAGTGGGAATGCAGAGGACTGGGAAAATACAAAAGGCAACAAAAGGATACCAAGAAAGTAATAAGAGGAGCAAAAAGGGAGTATGAAAAAAAACTTGCAAGGGATATTAAAACCCATAGTAAAAGCCTTTATAAATATATTAAGAGAAAGACAGTGGTCAAGGGGAATGTGGGTGAAATAGATGTAGGTGAGACTGTAATGGAAAATAAGTAAATGACTTGTTAAATAAATACTTTGCTACTGTTTTTATTGTAGAGTATGAGGACATAATACCAGCCATACAGGGAAACCTAAAAATAAGTCAAAGTGAAATGCTCAATAAAATTGATATTAAAAAAAAGGTAATGGAGAAAATAATGAGACTCAAGATAAATAAATCTCCAGGACCTGATAGCTTCCACCCAGGGTGTTAAAGGAAATAGGAGAGGAAATTGCAGATGCATTCGTCATAATTTTCCAAAGCTCACTAGATTCAGGAATTGTGCCCTTAGATTGGAAAATTGGGAATGTCAGTCCATTATTTAAGGAGGGAGAAATCAGGAAACTATAGAACTGTCAGCTTAACGTCAGTTGTAGGGAAAATACTGGAATCCATCATCAGGGACAGAGTGACTCAACACTTTGACAGGTATGAGCTAGTCAAAAAGAGTCAGCATGGGTTTGTGAAACGTAGGTCATGTCTGACTAATCTAGTTGAATTTTTTGAGGAGGTCACTAAAATGGTAGATAAGAGAATGTCTATGGATGTTGTTTATATGGATTTTCAGAAGGCATTTGATAAGGTTCTGCACAAAAGATTATTAGCGAAAATGGAAGCGCATGGAGTCGGAGATAACCTTGTGATGTTGCTTTGTAACTGGTTGGGGGGCAGGAAACAGAGAGTAGGGATAAAGGGAATGTTCCTTGATTGGTGGGATGTGGCAAGTGGTGTCCCCCAGGGTTCTGTACTGGGACCTCAGCTTCTTGCCATATATACAAATGACTTGGATGAAGGAATAGAAAGTTTTATATCCAAGTTTGCAGACGACATTAAGCTAGGAGGCTGGGTTCAATTCCCGGCAGGGCGAAACCTTGGGCAAGTTTCCTTACTCCACACGTCTAATAATAATCCCTCCAAAACCAAAAACAATAATAAATTGGTCATTTTCAATCTACGACTGTTTGTGAGACATTGTTGTGCGCAATTGGCTGCCGCGTTCGCCCACAAATATACAGTCAATTCACTTTACAGTGTGTTCTGTGAAGCGCTTTGGGACGTCCTCTCGACGTGAAAAGCGCTATATCAAATGCAAGAATTATTATTATTATTATTACATGGGAACAGGAAGTTACAAAGGGACTTACACAGATTAAGTGAGTGGGCAAAGCTATGGCAGATAGAATTCAATGTAGGTCATCAAACATGGATTGAAAAAAGATAAAGAAGAATATTTTCTTGATGGAGAGAGTCTAAGAACCGTGGAGGAGCAAAGTGATTTGGGTGTCCATATCAACAAATCACTAAAAAGTAGTTCCCAGGTGCAAAAAAGTAATCAAAAAGGTGAATGGAACGTTGGCCTTTACTTAAGGGGCCTGGAATACAAAGGGGAATAAATGATGCTTCAGCTGTACAGAGCGATAGTCAGGCCCCATCTGGAAACTGCGTTCAGTTTTGTGCACCGAAAGTTATATTGACCCTGGAGGGGGTACAGCTTAGGTACAAAAGAATGTTACCAGGCCTTAAAAGGTTAAGTTACGAGGAAAGGCTACACAAACTTAAGATTGTATTCCCTTGAGTTTAGATGGTTGAGGGGTGATTTGATTGAGGTGTTTAAGATGATGAAGGGATTCGATAAGGTAGATACAGATAAGCTATTTCCTCTTGTGGGGGAATCCCAAACGAGGGGCATAATCTTAAAATTAGAACCAGGCCATTTAAGAGTGAAATCAGAAAGCATTTTTTCACTCAAAGGGTGGTAGAAATCTGGAACTCTCTCCCCCAAAAGGCTGTGGATGCTGGATCCATCGACACCTTCAAGAGTGAGGTTGATAGATTTTTGGTAGGTCAGGGTATCAAGGGATATGGGGAAAGAGCGGGAAATTGGAATTGTCAAGATTAGTTGAGTTACAGATCAGCCATGATCTAATTGAACAGGCTCGAACAGGCTCGAAGGGCTGAACGGCCTACTTCTATGTTCCTAATACTTTCCTGGTGTCCAAAAATTGAAATAGCTGTCCTGAAATTGCTGTTGGTAATTTTAAATCTATATCCTCTCATTCTGCTGTCTTGATCCTTCCTGAAGTATTGATGTGGGATTCCTTTTTCAATCCCATTTAAAATGTTATACACTTCTATAGGGTCCCCTCTGAGATGACTCCTTTCATCACAGAAGAGCCCTACCTTGTCTAATCCATACTCAAAGCTCATTCCTCTAACATTGGGAATCATCCTCATTGCTCTCCTCTACACTGCCTCTAGGGCTGGGAAGACCCCTTGTATCCTGACAACCAGAACTGTATGCGGTACTTTAGGTGGGGTCTGACTAGAGTATGATGTCTGGGGGAATCTGAACTCAACTGATTTGGCAAGATTGTCCGGAATCCTGTTGTTCCAGTCACATGGATGACAACAGTTTGGGCGATCGATCGATCGATTGAGATTAATTATATTAGGATTCTCCCCATATTTAGGATGATGGTTAGGAATAAGTGTTGTGTGTAAAAGTACCTTTAAACTTTGTAGCCAAATACCTTTTGCATAACATGACTATGTTTCGGTTTTGTTTCAATTTTTGGCAGTGTTTGGATTTCTATATTGTTTGTTTAGTTGGGTGTGGTAAGATTTCTTGCTACAAATTTTTGCATCTGCATTCTTTAGATATCCAAGCAGACCAATCTAACAGCTTTGTTTTTGAATTTTGTCTTGTCACAAACTTTGCCTCCTCGTGTGGACAAGTTCTACCTGACTGTCTAGCTCAGCTCAGGCACCTGCGCAGATGATGTTAGCGCTACAGGATTGAGTACTTTCTCAGAATAGAGTCACACTTCTGGTCTAATTCCGAGTCAATTATAATTATGGAGACTGAATCGTTCTGTAGTTTTTTGCTGGAGTTTTTAATTGACAGAGTCCACAGATAATCAGAGATGACAGATTTTACAGATTGTCTTCGATGCAGAAGCTTGAACGAAAAAAAATAACCTTAATAGGTCGAGGTTGACTGCTACCCTTGGACAGGTCTAACCTCCCAGTTCCCAGAGCAGCAGTCCATGCCTCTAGGCTGCTAAACATATTATTTTTCTCATTTTCCGTTGATTTGAGAACTACACCCTCTCAAACTCGATACTGCGATTTTCCATTTGAAACTTGTAACAATACTCAACGACATCCCATACAGACTCTCCTCAATTAAAAGAAAAATGACTTTTTCTACAGTCCTAATTACTATCTATAGAAATATCTATATTTGACCCAACTGTACAGCGCCTTGGGACGTCCTCCTGACGTGAAAGGCGCTCAATAAATGGAATCTTGTTGTTGTTGTTGTTATTGTTGTATGATTACAATGGAGTTTCCGATTAAAAGTGTCCCAAGCAAATTACTCAGATAACCAATAGTGCATGAAACCCCTGGATCCTGAAGGCCAATTGTCTTCTTTTATTGAATTTGTCTTTTTTCTGAAAATCAATAAATGTTCCTTTCCAATTTTCTCACTTTCCTTCTGAATGCATTCACTTACATTGGCACAGTTTTGTGCATCCCACAAGTGGCCCTTTTTTGCAGGTGATAGTAAGCAATGTCAGGTTCTGTGAACATAAGGGGCATCATAACGAAGCCCATTCTCTCCTCACTAATGTCCACAGACAAACTTTCATCACATGAGGCCCTGAATTGGAATAAAACCCTCAGATGTTCCCCTTTCTTCTGGCTAAGAGATCCTAATCATGATTTTTATGACCATGTTATAGGATGAGATAACTTATCACAAAACAAATTATTTGCACTTTGGAAAGTTGCAACTGATTCCCAACCTTGCCTATGAGAACCTTAATAACATTTCAGCAGTGATTTTCCCTTATTTCATGCACTTCTTAAAATTTTGTTTGTGATTTGTAATGTTTACAACTTGTATTCTAAATTACTTTTTACTAACAAGACTATCAATAACTGTACTAGTTCTGTTTTAAACATGTAAGTCGATTCAGCATTTGTTTGAAATTGATTAAAATGTACTTTGGCTGTTGAAGGTCAGACACTTTCTGTTTCTAATGTAATTAACTGTGAAGTACTTAGAGACATTTCAACTTGATAAAGCTCTAAAAAAAAATCATGTTCTTCTTTTTCAGAAACATTACCTATAATCGCTCCTGAGACATCAGAAAACCTGAGACATCACTACATAATTATTGCTTCTATTCTACTTGTATTATCATTAACTACTTTTGCTATTTTCTATAAACCAAAATAAGGTAACACTGGCGTTGAATTAATTTATTGCTTATCAAGATATCAGGAAGAAGGGATTCTACCCACTTACCTTCTGTAAAACCCACAAGCCCCAAACTCTAACTCTAACAAGCAGCAGTAAACCTTGCATACCTTGCCATTATTCCTATATTGAGAGTAAATAGCACCAGATTATATGACCTTTGGGGAGCATTAAAGTTGGAACAGATCCTTTTCTTACCCGATGTCCACACGTACACTCACCAACAAGGGAGGTAAAGGAAAACTAGTTGATTTTCCCTTCATAGCACAGGGGTTAATTATATGGCATCTATTCCCCCCCCTGGTTAAGATCCGCTATTTCAACAATGACCAAGGATTAAATCTGAAAGAATTCTCATCTGTGTTGCAGCAACACAAATACCCCTATAGATCCCTTTTATTTTACTGCAAAAATAATTGCTTATTGATGATAAGATGCTTTTCTGATGTTTTTTCAATAGTAATAAATACAAGACATAATTAAACAATTGGTCTTTTATAGTAACATTTGCAGCAAAGAAAATTAAATGAATTTACTGTACCTGTACAGTGTATATTATCTATGTTATGGTTTAAATTGTATTTTTACTTTGTATAGTGCCCTTCACGTGGAAATTTTTGTTTTTGTATGTAACAAAATTGTTGTTTTTAATCTAGTGATTATAAATTATTTTGTAAATAAACTTCCATTCAGATCTAACTGATCAATGAATTAAACTCAGGAATTAATTTGCACAAACAAAATTGCCAATGTTCTTTCCTATGTTGCTGTTCTTTTAATGAAAAACTCAACTTCCTCAAGTGGTCCCACAATCAGATTTTGCAGTTTGCTGCTACTGAAGAGGTTATGTATGTATGTTACAGTAAAGTTGTGGAACTATGGATTTCGTAAAATCTCTGAAATTTTCAGTAAAATCAAAAAGTATGAAATCACTGAAATTAGAAATTAGGGATTTCATGAAAAAGTGATCATTTCATCAAATTGATAACCTTGCCTTGACACTTGTTAGCATTATCAACAAATAAATAACACATTATGAAAATTAATATTTTATCCATCATAAACTTCATGTGACATTTCATTCACTGGTGAGTCAAATGTTGATTTGTTAACACAAGTGAGGCTTCGGTGACACCTGGAGTTACATTTTAGCTTTGAAGCATTTACAATGTTTGGTCTGACATTTCTTCTGACTGCAGTTACACTTCGTAAAGCCTTGGCCACCACAAGCAAACTGTGCAATGACAGCTTCATGGAGTGACACAGGCTTCTCCTGGTAGTCGCAGGCGTCTGTTAACAATCGTTGTGGGCAGAGGTCAAATTGGTTCCTGGAATAGAGATCCCTCAGGATGCCGGCCTTCACTGCTGTCCTGTACTGGTCAGTGTCTGAATCTCTATTAATGATAACACCAAGGATGTTCCTGGGATTTCCCTCTACCCCTGTCCTGTCCACTGCTGGGATCACTTTTTCATGAAATCCCTGGTTTCACAACTTTACTGTAATATGTATATATAAATGTACATTGTTGTTGCCTTGGTGATATTAGTTTAGCTCTGTAACATTATGGTTGAAAACTGGCAAAAGTAAACTGCCCAAACCAGAAAACATCAGTGATTGCCTTTGCAACTTTATTTTAAAGTGTTACAAATCATATTTCAAATCTAAGTTTTTGGGGGATGTGATGGGAGTGCACAGCAGAGGGAAGAGTAATCAGTATCTTCCAAAATTATTTTGATCATTCTATGGTTTCTTGTAAACCAGTATTTAAATCAGATACTCAAAACTTCCTGTTCTCTGAAAATAACAGTGTCTTCAATGTCTTGTGATATGCCAAGAAAGTGAATATGAAGACAAGATTGGGCAAATGTGAGGTTTTTATTACATGCAATGTCTCAGCCAATGCTCAAAATGCAATTCAAGAAGGGTAATTTACTGAGCCCAATGCTGTCTTTGTTCAATTGGCCACTCCTCCAAACTCATGAGCCCATCATTTCTTTTGAACCACTAAACCACTTGCATGTTCATATTCGTTCTCACCTTCAAATTCCTCGTTTAGCACCACCCAACCTCTGTGACCTCCTCAATCCCCACCGACTGGGCTACTCCCTTTGCTTCATGTCCCGACGTTCTGTCCCAACATCCGCGAGCGAGCTTTCAACCTATCTGCCCCTCTCTGCATCTCTCTCCCAGAAACCTCTGGATCAGTCCCTCTCTCACCTGGTTCAAGGTTAGTCTCAAGACCTATCTCTTTGACCATGATCTTTCCGTTCCCCACTCCCCCTCAGCTCCCACCTGGGTGCCAAGCTTTTATTGTTAAGTGCCTTGGGATGTCCTCCGATGTGAAAGGCATTATATAAATGTACTATTGGATTTGCCTGATTTCAGCGTTCACCGTCTGATTATAAGGATGGAATTTATCCCAACATTTTATGAAGAATGTGGTACAAATTCCTCAACTCGGTAACTTATTTTTATATTACATACCCAGAAAAGGACGGTACATATCAGTCAAAATATATTGTTAACAAAGATTAGCTTAATTTTAGTGATTAATGATCAATTTCAGCGACTTTTATATTGAAGAAATACACATAAAATGTGTTCATTATGCAGAGAATTGTTAAATAGCTGGAAGATGACTAGTTACTACAAAATAATACAGTGAAGTACAATGGTATTATATTGTTAGTGGATCATGTGCAATATCAGTGCTCGCCATTTCATTACAAATATTTATTTATAAAACCCTAAAAGCAAAATAAATCAGATTGCAGCATAAAAGCAAGTATAAATACATCGCTGCAGACAGTACAAAATAATCTTTATTTTGTTTTAAATGTAGCTATTACATAAAGAATTCATCAATTATGTTAAATATTTCAGTGACCAGAACAGGGATTTTAGAGAACACATTGATGAAGAAATCCATTTCAGGTTTGCATTTCAGTGCAGAGAATTGTTGAATAGTTGGATATATTTTGTGATATAGTACAATATAGTGTATGTTTCACCTATCAATACAATAAATTGGTAGGTGAAACATAGACAATATTTGGCTAAAATTTAGAGAACTTTGAGGTCCTGTATCAAATGCAAGAAGTATGATTATCTGGACTAGTAATTCCATCACAAATGTTTAAAACGCTCTGTGACGCTATGCTGCAAGAGGGGTAAATAAATGCAAGTTGTTGTTTAAAAATAACACCTCTATTTTTGAACCAATTGTGTCCCTGAGTACATTTGCCAAAAATCACAATAACAGATTTGGTTAACTTTTTTTTAAACAACATAGTTTGGTAGGTATGCATCGCCAATAGATTATTGTATACCAGGCAAATGAGAGATCATCACCTTTTTGATCAATTCAAATCTAGTCCCAGACTGATTGAATGTTTATTTCCTCTCCAGTGGGTGCGAGAATCCTAAACAAAATGAGGTGGGACTGTCCATCCTGGTCTTTTGTTAGTACAAGTCCACAGCACAACTGCCCAGAGTTGGGCAATAAATTGTTTTTCAGAGACTGCCAAATTGATAGTGTGGGAAATGGAAATGCTATTCTAGTGCAGGAGGAAGTATTATTTTGAGATTGGTTTAGAGAACATTGCAGAGAACTTTGCTATAGAGACAACTGGAGTGGAATTTATTGCTGACCTTGAAATATCCAAAAATAACATACTCCATTCTCCAGCATTAAACATCTCTTAAGATGAACACAAAATACACTTTATTTTAAAAAGACAAAAATATTGGACATTTGTAAAAATAAAATCTTCCCGTATTCACGACTGTTGTATGACCATGATTTGCATTCAACATTGAGCAGATTTTAAATAACACTGTTTATTTTCTTTGTTAGATAAAAGAGAGCAAAGCTGCACCATCACCTAAAAACTGGACAAAGAAGATGGTTATATACAGCATGTACAGAGATATATATTCAAGACACTTGGTTAAAATTCACCAAGTCTACAGGAATAAAATTTAAGTGACAAAATTGGATTATCAATCATTTCAAGTGACTTTCATTCATGTCCGAGTCATGAAAAAGTGTTGGCAAGCTATCAGACCGTGATAAACTTTACAGCTGAGCCCTATCCCGTTCTGACTGCCAAACAATCACACCTTCTATGGCTATCCTGCTCTGGCGGATAATAGCTAACAGCACCCCCGGTAGGGGCTTCTGTGGCAGTCTTGGTAGTCGGTTCCTGAGCCAGGCAGGTCCGCAGTATTCCAGGGCACTGCTGATGACAGCACAGGACTTCGACTCATCGGCAGGACTTGGAAGGGCAGACCAGTCACGGAGGGCAGGAAATCATCCCACTCAGGTCCTGTTAACCCTGCAAGCCAAAGTCCTAATGGTACGGTTGTCCAAGCTGGACAAGCAGCAAGAAAGCTTGCCAGAAAACAATATCAATGTGATTTTAGCTGGTTAAACTCCAGCAGTGCACCAAAACACACTCTGGGGTCCCCAAGCCTTGGCTCTTGCCAACCTGCACCTAATGCTTTCTGGAATTAGGTAAGCAGGATGCGACTCTCCAGGGAGAGAGTGCGTATTCCATTCCTACAATCTATCTCTAGAATTTCCTTGTGTGAATCCTTCCTGATTCAGGTGGGATGCATGGAATTCTCAATTTGGTTTGGATACTCTTAAGCATAGTGATGGGTTTCCATATGTGTCAGACGCCTGGCTGACCAAAAAAAAAGCAGAAACCAGAATTTGAATTAATCTCTCTTCTGACCTGTATGTTTACTTATATGTTAGGAGGTTCTTTTTCCCACAAGACCATTAGGGAACTGGCTACAAATATTTCACTGAGAATAAATATGTAGTTCCAATCCCACAGAGTATAGGGTATTAGGTCTGCTAACTGCAAGGCAAAATCAATTCTATTTCTATGAATAATTAGATTGAAATATCATAAAAGCAAAGGCTACAAGTTGAGATTTACAGTATTTGTTTGTACTTTGCCACCACTCAGACTGTGAATCATTGCTATCATATGTGAGTGCTTGCCAAGTTCCTCCTCTTGAACTTTAAGAAGAGCTTCCTTTTCTTTCAAACGTCCCTCCAACTGTATCTTCTGTACCTCTAAGGACGAAACCTGTGGGGTACAAGACAGAATAAATATATATGGGGTGCACATATTGAGGTAGGTGCGAGGAACAAAGTTTTGACCCGGAGCCGGTAACTTCGGAAGCGACAAATGCGATAGTGCCGTTGCAAGTTATACGATTGGTAATATGACCAACAATCATATTAACTAGTGCGGATAAATTTAAGTGGATGTATCAGGAAATCCAACAGGACTTGTGCAGATGTATGACTTAGGCGATTTATACAAATCAGACTTATGCAAGTTTTACCGTACATACAATCCTTTCCAAAAAAAATAACATACAGCTGAGAACAAACATATAAACTAGATTGGTGAGTGCAGAATTGAAGGACACAAAATTCTCATTAGGACTGAAAACTGGATTAAAAACAACACAAGATTACAAATAAATGTAATTTACCTTAATGCTGAGCTCTTTTCTTGTTAATTCTGTCTTACTCAGTTCTTTTCTAAGAATGTCAATAGTTTCTTCCATGTCATTTTTTTCTTTCTCCATCTTTTTTGCCTTTTCCTCTTGTGCCTTGATCTTTTGTTGCAAACCTGTCAAAGAATAGATTAATCTTAATTTATTTAAATGAATAGATAAATTAATAATAATAATCCTTGCATTTGATATAGGGCCTAATCACGTCTTCGAGAAACGTGGCAGCCAATTGCGCACAGCAGTGTCCTACAAACCGTCATGGTTTGATGTGACTAATTTATTTTTTTAAGGAATTATTACCCCTGGAAAAGCAATCCGCCAATTGACTAAAAAACGGGTTCCTACTTACTGCTAGGTAAAGAGGCGTGTAGAGTAAGGAAACTTGCCCAACATTTCCATCCCCCTGGGAATCGAACCCAGGTCTCACTTGCGAGGCGAGTGCTTTAACCACTGAGCTACAGGACTCTACGAGCTACAGTTCAAAATTAATATATAGTGAGAATCTTCTAATCATAGATTTTTAGTATTCCATTAATCTCCAGAAAAACACTGAAGCAAAATTATACCTTATGAAAACGGGATTAAAGCTAAAGGTTCCTATTTATATTAAATGGCAATGGTAATTAAATGTTCATGTCCCATCCTTCAGATGATGTTAAAGATTCCATGGCAATATTTGAAAAGAGTTTCTCTCAGTGTCTTTGGGAAACATTTCCAGACAAAATTGATCCCACAGCAGTTTGGTACATCACCCAGTTCAAATTTGCTGCCCAGTTTGCCTACAAAATACAGTAAATCCTGTGAAGCACTTTGAAATGTGCTGCGAAAGGTGTTTTATCAAATGCAAGGAGTATTATTTTAGCATTTTCAATGAACTCAACCAGCAAGCTACAAAATCAAAACACAAGTCCTTACCTAATGTTTTGTTGTCCTTTTCCTGTATCTGCTTGCATAATTCATTCCTCTGCCCTTCAAACTCTTTCATTTGAAGAATACATCTAAAATTATAAAATATTTATGTTATGATGAAACATTTGTACAACTTATCTACGACAGGTAACAAATAACTGTTTCCTCTTTCCGCCCTCATATCTGTGGAAATGGAATTTACAGATTAAGCTTTAATAAACTAACAAGTTAATGAAAATCCACAAGTGCATAAATTCTGTAGAATTAGTATATTAAATGCATTTGTAAATCCATGTACAAATATATGCACAATTTGCTGAAATCTGTTAAAATCGATAAATCTGATTTTTCAGCATCATGGAATTAGATTAAAATTCTTACATTTTATGGAGACCCAGACCCACTGCTTATTAACCAATAGCATAATACTACATCATTTGAATTCATAATAAGACCCTTGATTTGACACTGACAAATTGTCATATTGCAACATTGGAAAAGCAGTCAAATACAAATACACTCGTGCAATTTGCTTGATATCACATCACAATGTCTAGAATTTTTAAACTCAACTAAAATTCTGTATATTTCTTGCAAGTCACTGAATTTACAATGTTCAGAGTAATTGGCCTCATGCCTTCCTTCTTCTGTCACAGGACCAGTTATCCAGTTGAAGAGATTGTCATATATGTTTTATTTATTATTTTAGCTGAACGCAAGAAATGAGAACTTTAAGAAACAAGGCAAAAAAACACGAGAAATCTTAAATCGTTTGATCTTTATATACTAAATCTGGTCACAAACCAAGAAACGGACTTACTTGTCATTCTGTTGTTTAAGGGAATCATGACGTTTCTTAAGCGTTTCGGTTTGTTTGTTTAAAGAGCTGTGTTCAGTCTGAAGTTCTTTTAGCTGTCTTTCAACAGTCTCAAGTCTAAAAATATATTGATGTAAATATAAAAATCTTCAAATATTGATCAAGCAAATACTGATACGTTATACATGCATGAGATTAGCGAAAAAATTAAACTGTAGATCATTTTTCTTATCCATTTAGCAATAATGTAAGTAGAGCTGCAATTCACTAGGTGGAAATATGAAGGGTAACTGCTCTGTAAATTGCACAGAGATGCAAATCACACTGTGCAACATGCAACACATTTCCTAAAACCTAAAATATATCTCAGGAACAATAATCCATCAAAAATATAGCAGGCATGGTTTGGGTTACAGTGAAAGTTTTGAAGAATGTATTGTTAAAGGCCGTTTCACTAAACTGGAAAAGTAAAACCTGTAGTAATCAATGAAGTGGTAATCCTCCACATCTATTCTCTCTCACTGCCAATTTTAGGTCAATATTCCCCCTACAGGTCATTTTATTCCTCAATTGCATTGTATCATTCCATGTCTCCACTCATACAATTTTAGAATTGTTGCTAGGAGATGCACAAGAACAGCCCAAGTTGACTTTTCTCAAATTTTCCTTCTGGATGGCCTCCACATAATGGCATGAATAGGGTTGGGAACTATTGTATGGATGGATACCTGTGGCCATGTATCTTACTCATTGCGGTCTGTAAAATTAGCTCAATTGCGCTATTTGTACGCTCCTGATGCTGCTGCTCAAATTGCTTTTTTGAAAATAGCCAAAAAAAGTACCCATAAAATAACATAATATTCACTAACCTTTGAGCCCGATACACTGATTCAACTTTTAAAGATTCATGTTCTTCCGCAACAGTCTGTAATTTACGATTGTCCTGGAAAAGTTGCTCCATATCGCTTTTGGCACATTCAGTCTCCATCAGTTGGGTCTTCAGTACTCCATCGAGTTCTTCATTTTTTCTCTCTGCATCCATCAGAAGTGAAGCCAGTTGCCGTGCCTGGTTTAAATGTAAAATTCGTATAATCAAGAATGACGTTCGGAGACAAATCACAAGATTCAGCAACACAATAGTTATTTCAAAGGAATTTCTTGGGTAAGTTGCATGGATTATCTCCATGGACTAATAATGTTCTACTCCTGCCTGAAACTGTTGCTATGTTACACTGTACAGTAAAACACTCCTAAAGGAAGTTGGCCTTTTTCCTTTTCGTGCGGGAACCATCTAGCGTGCGGTAACCAAGTTAGCTGGTTGTGTGCAAGCTCTGAATAACTGGTATTGTACGTCAGTGCAATTCAGGTTGGGATTTTATGGACCCTAAACATAAAGATTGCACTGTACAGTTATTTATACCTGATATATTTACAGGCACTCTATTGTAAGCACCTCACATATCCTGTGAAGTGCTTTGAGACGTCCTCCTGATGAGAAACGCACTATACCAAATCTAAGGATTATTATTATTTAAATATACCTCTGCTTCTGCATGGGCTCTCTGACAGCGGTATTGGGCAATCAGACGATCAGCCTGTGCGAGTGCCAGTGCCTTAGCTTCCAACAGGTCCTGTAAGCGAGTTTCCTTGGACTAAAAGAAAAATTTATTATTACGGAGATCATTCTACGTATTACTTTCTGACCTTTCCAGCATTTCCAATACGTCGCGATCACCACGATATATCACACTTTATAAAATAATAAGGGAGAAAAACAATTCCAATTGTACTTGAAAAATATGAAATTGAATAAAAGAATTCAAGTGGTAGGAAAATCAAGGTTTAGAAGTGTTTTTTTAAAGCAATCCCTGCGTCAGAAAATGTGTAATTATTAATGCATTACAAATATTGAAACTTCTTTTTGAAGGAGCACGTTACGGTGTTTATTTTCCCCTTGAAGGATCTAGGATTAATTTTAGATAGCACTTACTGCAAGAGATGACAGCTTCTGTTCATACACATCCATCATCTCTGAAAGTCTCACATCCTTGACTTGTTCCTTCAGCTGTGCAATAAGTATAAAATCAAATTAGATACTTAACCAATGAAATATATTCTTAATATGTAGAAAAGCAGAGAGTACTGGCAGAAGAATAGGATCGGAGGAGAATTGAGAACTAGAAAAGGTGGAACAAGACTTGTGGAAGGATTTAAAAACCAAGCCAAGGATCCTTAGGTAGGAGAAAACTCGGGTTGCAGAATTCTGAATCAGTTGGAAGTTCTGGGGATCGGAGCTGGAAATGAAAGCACTAGAAAAGGTAAATATGATTAGGATATTACATTTTCAACCTAACAAGTTTTTAAACATGTAGAAATGCAAATTAGCCTCCCTTCCTAGTTTTGAATGGTGTGCATTGTCTGTCCTATTGCATTTATGCTCTGCGATGTCATACTAACTGGGATGGTGGAGAGTTTATTTATGGCATGGGAAGATAATGATTCCATTTGATGTTCCTTTATAAAAAGAAAGTTATATTCGGCATCAACAAATAGTAAATACAAGTGTTCTAACCCAAAAACCCAATTCACTGCTACCAACCTCTATTCCCGACTGCAGCTTCTGAATTAGTTCATGAATATTTTCTCTGGAAGCACTGGCATTATTTGAAGGCTTTGGATGAGAACCATTCCAAGAGGCTATAAAGTTTGTTGAATGTTGCTGTACAGGATTTTTTTTCGTTACATGTTCAAATTGTTGCTGCTTACAGGCATTGTTTGCAGCAATCGCTTCTCCAAGCCTGAAAAGGAATGAAACAGCAATAACATTCAACTTTCTCTGTTCCAGAATCCTCACAAGGAAAGTGATAGAATCGACATGCCTTCAATACAGCAAACTGAAATTGAAAATAATAATAATAATCCTTGCATTTGATATAGCACCTTATCACGTCTTTGAGACATCCCAAAGTGCTTCACAGAATATACTGTAAAGTGAATTGAGTGCTATAAGTATGGCAGATACAAGATTCTGCCATCAAAAACTGCAATCAGTCTGACCACTTCAATAATCAGTACAAAGGTGTTTAAGTTAGGATGCAATTAAAGAAAGAAAGATGTTATGTATGAGATGGTTATGTCTGAAGGTAAGACTCTGCAGCTTGGTGTCCAAATCTTTAGAGAGGACTTTAAAAAAATCAGGATACTATCGCAGTTATTGATCAATGGTGACAACAATGAGTTCAAGTAATGCAAACTTTTGGAAAAGCTCCAAAAAATAGTTCAATACACTGCAGAATATGGATCATCTCACAATTTAATATTAAAATCACATTGCTCAATGAGTCAAAAACTGCTCATTCTAAAAACACACAGTAGAAAATATGCCCAAAGTTTCTTTTTAAAATGTTGTTGGCTGTTTCTATAGCATAATGTACTGCTCCGGAGCTAAATTAGATGCCTGTGCTTCTTGTGCAATCACAACATGAAATCAAAATCTCCTATCTAGGTTACCTAACTCGATGTAAGTAATGAATTGTAGCTCTTAAATTACTTATACAAAATTTAGTTTCCATTTAATCTGTACAAAGATAGAAACAATAAAGGCAAAACAAATTAAAAAATACAGGGATTATTTTGCTGCATCCATCAGGTGCAGCAACCACTTTCAAGAAATCATTAACAGTATGCATTTTGATTTACAAAAATGTTCAAAACAGATAGCATTTATTTTGTGTACAGTATAGCTGCTTTGGTTAAAGTGATCATTTTGAACAGCACTTACAGTACAGCAGGAAATTCAGGTAAAGGCGCTGCCTCAAACAAAATCTGTAATCCAAGTTGCACATGGTCTCTGTGCTCTGAAGTCAAAGCAAATGACAAAGGCGTAATGAGTCGTTGGTCCTGTAAAAATACATAAATGATAAACTGCAATACATTATAACACAAGACATGCTGCATACCTTTTTAATGAAACATTTATCTTCTCATTTACATTTACAGACATTTACAGCCTATGATATTCTGGTAAGTGTTAAAATACCATTAAAAACATTACAACAGTACAAATATCTATTATATTTAAAATGCAGCTAAAGAAACATTTAGCTAGCAAGCTTCACAAATCATGAGACAAAATATACTACTGTATATTAATTACACCCTAAGCAGTTTAGCAAGAATAGTAAGAAACACAAATTTTAAAAGGCAAAACTATTTTGCTATTTTAATGTCTTTTAATGGCTGAATACCTGCAAAATTTTATAGAAACCTGCTTCCATATTGGGCACTAATTGGTTCACTCTGTTCATAATTTGAAGAGTTTTCAAAATAATATCAGTGCCAGTTTTGCTGTCAACATGAAACAAGGAAATGAAAATTAAGTCATTAAAAATAATGGATTAGATAGTAAAACTTTATAATAGCCTGGCTTCTAAAAATACATTTTATTATAATCCCCTAGACAAGCATTAACAAATGGGCACTCCAGGGAGCAGTTTACAAAGTTCAAGCAAACACATGGTTTAAGCTTCATAATGCAACTGTGAAATAAATGGATTTTCAGTTCATATATCCTCATTTTATCCTGATCAGCTGATAAGCAGGAGAGACTGATAGTTTGGGAATGGTATATATTTCCTTCTTGTACCAGCATTAAGCAGACTTGTGATAAGTACTTCAAATAATGCATGCAGTTTAGAGCTCCCTCTGCAGTATCAGGGCAGAACTCTCAACTGAATTAATATGTTTGCATTTCTCTGTTTCCATCCTTTTGCTTTCTGAGCAAGTGTGCTCAATTGTCAGTCAGTGAAACACTGTTCAGTTGTATGCTATGGATCACCTGAATAGAAGGTGACTGTCAGAACAACAGTTTAGGAAAAAAGAGTAACATTACCTTGTGTAACTTACCATAGCTCTAAATCTACCTTGCTCCCATAGCCAATTTCCATCCTGTTGTGTGTAAACTGATGTTCCAGAAGTGAAATACAGTTGTTCACAGTCAGAACCTTAGCAACGTGAAGTTTCATTGTATCATCTCCACAAATGAGTATAAACTGTTAAGGAAGAATACAAGTCCATTCTCCCCACACACCCCTCCCCCCACTTTTTCCATACTCTCTAACCTTAATAGCCTGAGTGAATTCCTCACACAGTATCATAGCAAGTACTGTGTACAGTATTGTTGCCCTATTATGTCAAACATTTAGATATTCATAATATTAGTATTTGAAGATTAGGAGACAACACTGAAACAGAACAGTTTAGATTAAGAATATTTCAAAACATGCTAGGAATACTCTTTTGCTTTGTTAGAATCAAGTGGCTAAGAAATACATGGAGCCGCAACAGAACTGAACAGCGACTCATCATAATGGCACTGCTCCAGCACAGTAAATGAAGATACCCAAGTGAAGTTAATATCTGTTCACAAAGGATATCTAACAGAACATCAATAGTCTTGGCAATTCGATCATATTTTTTCTTTACAAGACCGCCCTCAAGAGGATGTTCTGGAATCTGAAGCTGTTCCAAGAGAACAGGCAAAAGTAGCTCCAGAAATGGCTGAAGTGTAGTCCAAAGAGAAGAATCTACCACTTCCTGGACAGTATAAGAATGTAGTTACAAAATACAAAAACATAAATAACTTTTTTTAAAAAACAGTTGGCTTCCTGTTAATTTAAGATCAACATCTAACCTTACATTTATTGCAAAAATAAAGATGTAGACGACATACTATTCCAACTTAAATCAGATATTTTGGAAGTCGCCAGGAAAGGCGACATGAAAGAGTGGCATACAATCTGATTTTTGACCTCATAATTAAAAGATATCAAGCATTGACAAAATTGCTCAAAAAATATTTCTTTAAATATGAAAAAGGGGTGTTTCTTTTTTTAAAAAAACACTGTGGTGATTTTGGTACTTTATTGTGCATTCTTCAGAACTGCAACTATAATTTTTTTTTAAAAAACTTGCATTTCATAGAGCCTTTCACATCCGAAGAACCATTCAAAGCACTTCACAGAATATACTGTAAAGTGTAGTGACTGTGTATTTTGTAGATAAGTACATGGTCAATTTACATATAGCAATGTCCCCCAGAGCCTTACTTGTTAGGTGAGGTATACGACTTATTTTATTTGAGGGACTGTTGGTCAGGGTAGTGGAAGAAGTTATGGCATCTTTAATGTCCATCTGAACAGGCAGATGGGAGCATAGTTTAATGCATCATCGAAGTGCACTTCTAAGTCACAGTACACTAAATCAGCGATATACACCTACAATAACAACTTGCATTTATATTGGGCCCTTCACATAGAATAACTTCTCAAAGGATTTAACGTCGAGGACGCAAACGCATCTCATACTTGCATGCATTAATTCTCTGTCTACCAGCAACTGTATAGCTATATGAACATTACCTTTCAACTTATTCACATTGGAGCATTCTAAGACTGTACCTCAAACAACTCTTTGAGAAGTACCAGAGCCAGCAATGAGCAACTCTCAGGATTTTCCAGTGGCTGACTGGACCAGTGAAGGAGGCTAATGATTGGCTCTGAAGGTTTAACTTGTGGTTTGAGTTTAGTTGCTACAAGTGATTGCTGAAAGGAAGCCCCGAACATTGCGTGGCATAATATTCGGCGGAGACTGGTCACTGAACAAAAAGCAAGTAGTAATTCAAGGATCTGTGAAAAAAGACATTAAAGAATAAGTTTTAAAACAGATCTTCTATTGTTAGATTTGAATTAGAATATTATCAATCCACTGTTAGTCTTAATTTTTCTGGAAATTTTTCTCCATCACTATATAGCTACACACAACTGAAGACAATTTGTTCCACAACTTCATGAATATTAGGCTCACTAGCAATATAAAACTATTTGGCAGTGTAAACATTTGTTTCCACACTTCATCCTATGTCTACTAGAAAATGTACTGGTACAATCTAGTATACTTCCAAGTCAGCAGAATACACTTCAACTCCCAATAGCAGTACTAAAACATAACTCTCTAGACCAGTGGAGCCTACTAAGTGTAAGAATGCACTATAGTAATAATCCTCGCATTTGATATAGCGCCTTATCACGTTATTGAGACGTCTCAAAGCACTTCACAAGATATAACGTAAAGTGGATTCAACTTTAGCTTTTCATTTAATTAATTTAAATAATTATTACATTCCAATTATATACTTCAAATAATTTTCTAAATAAAATAAATCGGTATATCAGTTAAGTATTTAGCATTTGTCATCTACATACATACCTTTGTTGCTGAATCTGAGTCTTTGCCATGCAGAAGACCTAGAACTTGGGACAGGCATGAGTTAAAGTATTCATATCTAAAATTGAAAAGAAAAAAACAAATTGAATTAACTTAAACACCAGGAATACTTTTCCAGCATTTAGATTTTGCATAATTTATTGCTACAAACTATTTCACATTAAACAATTTTCTTAACAGAATTTGTAATAAAAACATAAACTAGAGACAAGAACTTTCAAAATCCACAACTATGATAGCCAAATCTTTTACCAGCCACTAATATTAATGTGAATGCCAAGGTATCCTCAAAGATGTACAGGGCAAATTTGCACCTTGATATCCACAAGAATGCCAAAATTCACTTGCACCTTTTCCAGAAACAATCAATTATAGATTTATTGACTTCTGAAGAATTTAAAAGAGAAATAAGCAAAAAATCAACCAGCTCTTCAAAACATTTTAAAAAAACAAACATGTGGGCATGAGCAAATGCTGAAATTAGGCATTTCTTGACCAAAGTTCAAAACGATGTGGAAAGAAAAAATTAGGTATAAATTTATACTTCCTATCACTGTGCTGCCAAGAGCAAAGTCACTTTGTTCTTGGTAGTAATACGAGCTTGAAGTAGGAAGCCAGATTCATAGGACAACAATGGTGTTTATACAGCTACTCAGAGAATGTAAGACATTACACAATGTAAGACATAAATAGGTTTCTAGAATAGCACAAACATGAGTCAACACTAAAGATCAAGTCAAATGCCTAAAAAATATATCCTTGGCTACATGTTTAAAAAAATGTAAATAACAATTTAGTGGTACAATTTATACAGCTTGTCTCTTGAGAAAAGGTTTACAGATATGAGGTCCACATTGTTAGACCAACAAAGAATACCCTACCTTTGAAGATAATCTGCAATCTTTGGATTTCTGAGAAGATCCACTAACAGATCAACAGTATACTTTCTGGTCAGTGTTCCATCTCCATTAATCAGAATATTAAATATAAGCTGAAAAGTCTGATGGATATTTTTGGCATGAAATAGCTGTGTTCAAAACAAAAGGAATTGTTAGGGTTGAATTCACCTCATTTGCAAGGACCATCTTCCTGGGGGGGTGGGGGAGAGAGGGCAAGCTTGTTTTTTGTTTATAATGAAACTTTAAGATAACTATATTAACTAAGATAACTATTAAAATAACGAAGGTTTGAATATTTTGACCTATCATATATTGGGGTCCAAACGTAGTACAGTATTTACAAACCTGATGCGTTATTTTAATCGTGCCTTGCGGTTTGAGAATATTGGATTGTGAGATTTATAATATGGCAAATTCAAAGCCAATAAAGTCCAATCATGACCTGCAAATAAAACCACTGTCAATTTCCCTTTGCTGCACTGTTCAGTGAGCTTTTTTTTCAAAACTTTGCCAGTTTGGAAGATTTGGCCTTCATGAATTCTGCAAGTCCATATTTGTGAAGTTGGGAGTCATAAATAAGCAAAACAAAGTTTGTAAATGTTGAATTTTACACTCTCGCTATGCATATAACAAATATATTATTGATTTCCTAAGTTATTTCCTCAGTTTCATCGTTTATTTCGTTTTTAAATAAACAATGAAACTAATGCTGCATTTATATTGCATATTTGGTGGAGAATTGCTGTGATTATGGCAATTATCCACTGCCAAATATTAAATATTTATAAATATTAAAGGATTATTATAAATCTAAATGATTATTCATGCATTAAATTTGATTTATTCCACGCTTTTACAGGAAGTTATACTAACAGTATGCTGATTAAACAGATATATTTTGTCTCAACTTCTGAATTTTTTAATATTCAATGCAGGGCTGGGGGAGTGCTGTTTTGTCATAAGTGCTGTCATTTGGAGGTCCTTGTCTACCTGCTCAGGTGGACATTAAGGATCCCACAGAGTTATTCAAAAATAGAACGGCATTTCTCCCAGTGTCCTGACTAACAATCCTCCAGATAAGTATAAACTCAGAAGTTGGGGACACGAAGGTCAGGAAGCATCCATGGCGAGAGGAAAATCTGTTAACATTTCAGGTCTATGACCTTTCGTCAGAATTGGGGAATGTTGGAAGGGAGAAGGTTATAAGGAGAAGCAGAGAGGGGGGCGGGGAAAGAAAGACAAAGGAAACATTTTTAGATGGAGGACAGAAGATAATGAGATTAGAGGAGTTGATGGTGCAAGACAAAAGGCAATAGGGGGATTATAAAACAAACAGATGCACCTAAGAACCAGAGGATATGTTACTGGTTTTAGAAGAGGGGTACGGGGATGGGAGGAGGCAAGACTGAGAGAAGATGAGAGCTAAAGTTAGGGTCTGAAGTGGTTGCAATCAATGTTGAGCCCAGACTGTAAGGTGCCCAGGAGGTGGATGAAGTGCTGTTCTTCGAGCTTGCATTGAGCTTCGTTCGAACAGTGCAGGAGGCCATGGATAGAGAGGTCACAGGGGGAGTGGGAAGGAAAATTAAAATGGCAAGAGACCAGAAACTCAGGGTTGCACTTGCAGATGGAATGGAGGTGTTCTGCAAAGCGAGCACCCAATCTGCGTTTGGTCTCCCCAATGTAGAAGAGACCACAGAGTGTACAGCGAATACAGTAAACTACATTGGTGGAAGTACAGGTACAAGTACAGATCGATGTCTCATCTGGAAGCAGTGTTTGGGGCCCTGGACAGTGTTATGGGAGGAGCTGAACAGGCAGGTGTTGCATCTCCTGCACTGGCATGGGAATGTGCCAGAGGAAGGAGAGCAGGTGTTAGTGGTGATGGAGGAGGAACCAGGGAGTTACGGAGGGAGCAGTCCCTCCAGAATGCTGAGAGGGGAGGGGAATGCTCCAGATAAAATTGATCACTCACTCACTTAATGACTGTTTGTGGGACAATGTTGTGCTCAAATTGGCTGCTGAGTTCACCTACCAACACAATCACCACACTTAACAGTACATCCTAGAGGTTTGTTGTGATGAAATGCTACAGTATATTATATACAAGGATTTACTACTCCACTCTAATTCAAACTAAGGAAAATAAACATTGTGTAATTAAATTACCAAAATAAAGATAAATAAGATAATGCAACGCTGTTATGAATCCACAAAATGTTTGCTTTGAATAATTGTACAATGTTCAATTAATACTCTAATAATGGTTATTTGAAGGAGGATCAAGAATTAGATAAAGAAGCCATATCAGATCCTACCTTCTCGCCAACCTCTTCATTTAGTGTTAGACTTGCCAGTATGGATAGCGCAAAAACCACCACAGTCAAACTGCTGTGACCTAAAAATCTAATCAGAGTCCGGTAAAATCCTTTTATGTAATTCTGTGGGAAGGACAAAAAAGATAAGAAAACTCAAAACAATCTTCCATCTAAATTAAGTTAGATAATAATAAAAATAATATTATTATGGAGATAAAAATCTTACAAAATCAGATTTACTATTAACATCTTACCAAAGATTTGATATGAGCTTGAATAGCAACATTGTGACGACAAAGATTTGCCATTAATCCTAAACATGGCATTGTTATCTCATCCTCTGGTGCTTGACTATAAATTAGAAACATAAATGTTAATCAACCTCAATTAGCTCACTTGGAACAGATTTAAATATTGTGCAAATTGCCAGAGAATTAAAAAGTAATTAACAAATTAGTAGCTAAACAGATTTATTTTTGGAGATTCAAAAAGTGCATCTCTTGATTGATATTATTACTCTTAAATGGGGGTGGAATGCATAATAATGGTATATCAGATATCAGATTTAGGTTAGTTTGATAATGTAGCCGTATGCAAAGCTACACAATTCACAAAAAATATTTGATTGGTGCTGCTTAATAAAACCAAAGCTATTTGACTTACATATGTTTGACTAAAAATGCAAACAAATCATCAATATTTGCACTGCCATGAAAAACTCTGGTGTTGTAAGTTATTTTCTGTAGAAGCTGCATGCTCTGTTGAAGAATAGTGAAACGTTGTCAAATTTATTATTGTTCAATTCATGCAGATATTATATATGCACGATTCTACAGCAGAAATGTGCCAATAAAGCATTAAATAAATCTTGTTAAAAGTTTATACAACTACTTTTAAAACCAGGAAATACATATACAATGGTTGTATTCTATTTATCTGTATATATTTTATTGACATTTGATCATTTATTGAATAAACTTCACTACTGGCAAAAGTATTATATTAACTGTGAAAACTGCTGATTAATTATCATAATTCATTTTACTGCTTTGGATCAAGATATAAGGCTTTGCTTCCGGCAGTATAACACTTACTATGTCCTCCATAATTGTCTTTAATCAGTTAATGGAAAAATCTCTCAGATGCTTGAGGATTTTTCAACATTATGAACATTAAAATGCTTTGTTCAAAGTCTCTGGGCCATGTCTTCACACAGCCCAAGAGCCCGAGGGGAATGATTCTCACACGTTGTATTAGAATACACGGTAATGAATCACATAACTCTAGTGAGATTCATGCTGCCTATTCTGAAAATTTGCTGCAAAAATTGGAATGATTCAACATGTAATAATATAATAATAATAATCCTTGCATTTGATATAGCGCTTTTCACGTCGGGAGGATGTCCCAAAGCGCTTCACAGAACACACTGTAAAGTGAATTGACTGTATATTTTTGGGCGAAGGCGGCAGCCAATTGCGCACAGCAATGTCCCACAAACAGTCGTAGATTGAAAATGACCAATTTATTATTGTTTTTGGTTTTGGAAGGATTATTATTAGGCGTGTGGAGTAAGGAAACTTGCCCAAGGTTTCGCCCTGACCTGCCTGGAATTGAACTCAGGTCTCTCGCTTGCAAAGCGAGTGCTCTAACCACTGAGCTACAGGACTCCACGAGTCCTCATGTAGTGAGAAACAAAACAAAAATGTAGATTAAAATGAATATTATACTGCCTTTATCCCCGTGTTCTACAGAAACCTGAATTATTTTTCCAAAGGAGAGTAGACTGGGAACATTTGGTATAGAAAATAATTTTTAAAAATGAATCTATTCTGTAAAATTCTCATTGTAAAATATTGTTTCATTACATACTAGAATTTCTCCTTGCATCAAAATAATTGACAGATTATAATCATTCATACCTGCAGTACAACTTGCTCGCTGGGAGTTGCACTATTATGATGAACCACTGCTGCAAGTGTGCTGATGAGGTTATATATGGTATTCAAAGCCTCTCTGCTTTCATTGTCTGATGCTGTAAAGAAAATAATTATGAAAAAAGTAATAATTTGAATATGCAATACTAAGGAATCGTCTGGCAAAGACAGGTTACATTTTGTAGGACTGGATCTCAGGTGCAATATTGATGATCCTCAAGTATGATGCACCAGAGGAAATTTCCTCACAGTTAGGTTACAATCCTCAAGTGCAGACTCCAATATGCCAGGCACTGATCATAATGTAGGAATCCCCCGTTTTGTAACTATCAAGTATTCAGATTGAAAATTATAATTACACATAGTTCAGTTTTCAGAAGATTAAAGAAAAAAATAACAGTTGATCTAGGCCAGTTACTTTATACTACAACAAAATCATACCTAATTGTGTAAGTAATCCAATAATCTTCAGAGTAAGGGACACAGTTGTGTTAGGATCCGCAATAAGCTCTACAAGACTATTCAAGCATTCACTTGGTAAACTCTGATTTGATGCAAATACCATCACTGCCTTCATTCCATAGATCACCTATAAAAAAAAACATTTCAGTCGACTGACTTTAAAAACTTCCCCTTTAGAAATATTGCATTCTTGTTAACAAAAGTGCAAACAAACAGCTTCTGATTGAAGCCCTATATCCTCTTTCCAAGCAAGTATATTACACCATTTAGAAAAATGCTTTTAAGATTTGACTAACTTAAGAAAGTTGATGAAATTGTAGTACTTATGATGTATTTCTGCATAAACATTTTCCTTGATGTAAAGATAGCAAATAATTTTCTTCAATATAACACTGAATTTCTCCCTTTGAATTCCTTTTGAAATCAAAATGAAATTTCTAAAAATTATATAAAATTAGATTTTACCAGAAACATTTAAGCTTGAATATAGTAAGCTTGAGTCATAATACATAAACAGCTTAGAGTTTAAGATATTTGAACACCTATGCTTATAGAACCATAACAATCTAGGTGTTCATCCATTTTATACATATAGTACATGAAAAGAAAAATAGACAACATTTTTCCGCTTTTCTGTGAGTAATAATCCCTGCCAAAAAAAAATAATAATTTGGTCACTCAATCCACGACTGTTTGTGCACAATTGGCTGCCACGTTTCGCCCACAAAATATACAGTCAATTCACTTTACAGTATATTCTGTGAAGTGCTTTGAGCCGTCTCAAAGACATGATTAGGCACTATAGCAAATTCAAGGATTATTATTTTAAGTAGGATCATGTCTAATTAGGTCTTGTAAAGGGGAACACAAGAGAAAATGGAGAACATATATACAGGCAATCGCATCAATTATACTTAAAAATATAATCTGGCCTTATTCTGGTGGTATGTAAAAAAAATGCTGCTTCCATGTAACAGTCTCCAATTCATATCAATTCAACTTGAGTCAGTTAGTTTTGTTTTACTTCCATTAACTTCTACACATTTCTGGCTCTGTAATTTGATTTTGATAACTTCTGCATTTAAAAAATATACTTATTGGCACCAATAAGATCTGCTTTGAGATGACATTGTCAAAACATTCCTGAATTATTAAATGCACCTTGTAACACTTTTCGAGGAATCCATTCCCTATGTATAGTGTATATAAAACAGTGAGTGCAATACTTACATCCAATTGTCTCTGGACTTGTGAAGCGTTGACTTCTGATTTAACATTTTTATACTGGCTAATAGCCAGTAGTAGAGACTTCATACAAGTAGTTAAATCCATTTCTGAGTAAAAGAAATTAAATGAAGACAGATTTTACAGCCTTGCTTGAAGATGACACAAACCCCATTTTTTTTACAGCATCAGGCTGAGCACTGCAAGTTTGGAAGGAGTGCAAGTGGTAAGTGGTCTTTTGACTTCTCTACTGCATGGAAACCTATTAGAATCATAGAATCATAGAATCGTTCAGCACAAAAAGAGGCCATTCGGCCCATCGAGTCTGTGCCGGCTCTTTGTAAAGAGCAGTGCCATGTCAATCCCACTCACCAGCCCTTTCCCCATAACCCTGCAAACCCGTCCTCCTCAAATACCCATCCACCACGTTTTTAAAAGGTGTTATCGAATCGGCCTCCACCACCCTTTCAGGCAATGCATTCCAGATTCGAACAACGCGTTGCGTGAAAAAAATTCTTCTCACCTCCCCTCTGCTTCCTTTTGAAACTATTTTAAATCTGTGACCTCGAGTCACCGACACACCCACCAGTGGAAACAGTTTTTCCGTTTATAACTTATCAAATCCCCTCATGATTTTGAAAACCTGTTGGGTCTCCTCGTAACCTTCTCTGCTCCAACGAGAATATTCCCAGCCTCATTCCTGAGGTCCCTCATTCTTCTTGTACACTCTAACCCTCCAATAGAACAAACAATTATCTGACCTTCAGTAATTTGCTTCTGCATTTATTCTAGCTTTATGTAGCTTCACGCTACTAAGTCTATTGAAACAGTAGATATGACACAGATCAACACTAGACCAAAACAACTTTTACGTTTATTTATGACACCCAATTGCAAATGTGTAAAGGTACAATCCTCTTCACAGTTATTCATACTCCCTAGTTTTATGTCAACTGCAATCTTTGATACTGGACAATCATTTTAAAGAGTCCACTTATGGTTGACAAAAGACTCCTGTCACATGAGACTATGGCTGACCTGCAAAAGGAACCACTACTGGTGATGGTTTATTATTCACGCTTCCAAATCTCAACAAGGATCCACAGGGTGGTCAAGCATCAACGTACCCGTGTTTTTATAACCTGCGGTTCTTGAAGATGTGAATATTATCTGGTTCTTTAATGCAACAAATACATATACAAATACGTGGAGTCCTGTAGCTCAGTGGTTAAAGCACTCGCTTTGCGAGCAAAAGACCTGGGTTTCATTCCTGTCAGGGTGAAATCTTGGGCAAGTTTCCTTCCTCCACACACCTGATAATAATCCCTCAAGAAAAAAAACAATAATAAATTGGTCATTTCAATCCACGACTGTTTGTGGGACATTGCTGTGTGCAATTGGCTGCCGCGTTTCGCCCACAAGTATACAGTCAATTCACTTTACAGTCTATTCTGTGAAGCGCTTTGAGACGTCGAGAAGACGTGAAAAGCGCTATATCAAATGTAAGGATTATTATTATTATTACTTTGGGCCTGGATATGGTAGTCACAGTGAAACGGAAACGGACCTTCCTGTGGCTACAGTGCCTGACTACACGCCAATCTGCAGTTGTGACCATTGCTTTATGCCCCCGTGCACTTCTTCCAGTGGACAAGAGATGTTTTGGGGTCAGCCGGGTGGGTGTCTGACACATGGGGAAACCTGTCTCCACGCTTAAAAGAGTATCCAAACCAGGCTGAGAAGTCGATGCCTCCCACCTACACGTGAAAATCCCAGAGCTGGATTGCTGAAATGGCACGGGCGCTCTCTGCCTGGAGGGACGTGTCCCGCCTACTTAATTCCGGAAAGTATTAGCTGCAGATTAGCCAGAGCCGAGACTTGGGGACCCCAGAGGGTGAGGCTGAACCATAGAGACGGCGCCCACCACCCCCCACCCCCGGCTCTAACTGGGTGTCGATGGCTGCCTGCCAACCCCACCCCTCTGCCCCCCCCACCCCACCCCACCCCTTGGGTGTCTTTCTGTACGTGTGTATTCGTGTCTGTACGTATGTATGTGTTTATGTATGTGTGTGTATGTATGTGCATGTATGTGAATGTGTGTGTGTATGTGTGTTTTTGTATGTATGTATGTGTGTGTGTTTATGTATGTGTGTGTGTGTTTATGTATGTGTGTGTGTGTTTATGTATGTGTGTGTTTATGTATGTGTGTGTTTATGTATGTGTGTGTGTGTTTATGTATGTGTGTGTGTTTATGTATGTGTGTGTATGTATGTGTATGTATGTATGTGTGTGTGTATGTATGTGTGTGTGTATGTATGTGTGTGTATGTATGTGTGTGTGTATGTATGTGTGTGTGTATGTATGTGTGTGTATGTATGTGTGTGTATGTATGTGTGTATATATGTATGTGTGTATATATGTATGTGTGTATATATGTATGTGTGTATATATATGTATGTGTGTATATATGTGTGTGTGTGTGTATGTGTCCGTCCCCCCTCTCACCTTCTGTTGTTTCGCTCTCTCTCCCACTGTCACCTCTTTCTCTCTTCCTATGTTTATCTCTATATGTATGTATGTGTACATATACAGTATATAGTGTATATATATATATATACACAGTATATAAAACTTTATTTGCGTCTCTGTCTCTCGAGCCGCCGCCAACCGCCGGCCTCGCGCTCCCGGTTCAAACCTTGGACTCCACCACCGGCGCCAGGTCAGCGGGGGGGGGGGAGGCGAGCGCCGTGTCCGGCACAACTAAACCAACAGCCAAGAACTGCTACCGAACGCTCGCACACCCTTTTTTTTTTTTCTCAGCAAAACCCCCGTCTCCGTGGTATTCAGTTTTGATAAAAGTGGTTGTTGACACCCGAAACCCTCCCCCACGTACCCCCTTTTCCCTATTGGTTCCTTCCATCCAGCCCCGCATTGCCGTTGCGACCGACGGCGTCACGACAGTCGCTGCTGGAGGCGGGGGGTGGGGGGAAGGGGGGGATGGGGGGGATGTTGTTGGATGGCGGTCTCTGTCGCCTCCACGGACTCGCAGACAGGAGGAAGGGCGTGAGGATGGCCGTCTGCTGGTCCCTTACCTTCGTGCGTGGCCGGTGGGAAAACGAGGAAAGCCCTTTCAGCAGAACCGACACTGAACCGCCTCCGGCTCAGGCTCCGCCTCCGGCTGCGCTTTCGGCCATCTTGACGCTCGCGCGCATGCGTCGTGCCAACTGTGCTGAGCTCCCAGCGCCGCCCTGTCCCGCCCTGCCCTGCCCTGCCCTGCCCCGCCCTACCCTGCCCTGCCCTGACCCGACCCGCCCTGCCCCGCCCTACCCTGCCCTGACCCGACCCGCCCTGCCCCGCCCTGCCCTGACCCGCCCTGCCCTGACCCGCCCTACCCTGCCCTGCCCTGCCCTGACCCGCCCTGCCCCGCCCTGCCCTGCCCTGACCCGCCCTGCCCTGACCCGCCCTACCCTGCCCTGACCTGCCCTGACCCGCCCTGCCCTGCCCTGTCCCGCCATACCCTGCCCTGACCTGCCCTGACCCGCCCCGACCCGCCCTGCCCTGACCCGCCCTGACCTGCCCTGACCCGCCCTGCCCTGTCCCGCCATACCCTGCCCTGACCCGCCCTGCCCTGACCTGCCTTGACCCGCCCTGCCCTGCCCTGCCCCGCCCTGACCTGCCCCGACAGAAGAGGAGCTCAAGATGATCGCGAATCCGGATCGGGTGCGAAGAAGGCCCTCTGCGGAGCCCCTCCCTTCTCCTCCCTCCAGGACGTCCGTCCTCCCCTTCCCGCCAATCGAGCTGCTCCTTAAAACGAGTTCCAAGCGCGGTCGCCCATCGCCGCCACCTTGCCTTGCCCCCTTCCTGGCCGCCCGCTCCGCGTTGATTTTCCCTCCCGGCAAAAGTCGCCTGCACCCGTCCCGGAACTGCCCACTTCACACCTCTCGACCTTGCGGGGGGGGGGGGGTCACTGCCGCGGGCGGTTGGCTGCCGCGTCTCGCCCGCAAGCTGTACTCGGTTCACTTCACGGTACATTCTGTGAAGCGCTTCGAGGTGTCTCGAAGACGGGATAAGGCGCTATATCAAATGCAAGGATTATTATTGTTAAACCCGTGTCTTTTTGTTCTGCCGCCTTGCTGCATCCTGAAGTATTGATCCGTGTTTACGTTTACAGCGCCGTTTGAAATTTTATACACCTCTGTGAGATCCCATCTGAGTTGCCCTCTTTCAAGACTGAAGTGCCCCAGGTTGCCTATTGTTGCTTGCAGCTCATTTCTCATCCCCGTTGCTCTATAACAAATTCATATTTACATAGCAACTTTTAGGTCAAGAGGAAGTTATTAATGAAACAAAGAACTAATAAAAAGTAGTCGCTTTTGATATTGTGCCTTTTCACCAGAGGAGAGAATTTCTCCCAGTGTATTGACCCAACAGCTGCTTCCGCCCCCCCCCCCCCTCCCTCCCCAATAAAAATTGTTCACTCACTTCATGTTTGCAGGATATCGCTGTGCGCAAATTGGATGCCATGTATGCCTGCAAATTTGCAGTCACTGAGCTTTACAGTAATATCCTGTGAAGCACTTACTGGTAAGGTGGGTAGGATGAAAGGATGAGATTGGATGTGCCGAAAGGTCTCCTTAATCCCAAACCAATATTGTGAATGGGTTTGGGGGAAATTTAGGGAATCTGCCTCAATAACATCCCATAAGCAGCAGTTGAAAACTGGAATATTATGGTGGAGAGCCCCATATTCACAATTGGTATGTGGATATGTAAACAAGTTATCTTTCAAAATGCAATGTACAGTATTGATCAAAAATCAAGAGCCTTACTGTCACTATCATACACATAATGTGAACCATTATCATTCACACACACAGGTCTCACAGTATCAACCCTTCTCTGCCCACAGACAATGATTTTTTGAGTTATTCTTTGACTCTGTCTCAGACTGTTATCTCCAACCCTGTGGAAGGATGCCATGGTTGGCAATGGGATATTGAAATCGAGTCAGTCCTCTGTTGTGATGGTCCTGGTTGGACCATGCATCGTGAACCTTGTCAGACAGTATTCGCAAAATTAAGCTATGCAGCTTTAACAACAACAACAACTTGGACTTATATAGCACCCTCCACTCGCTTTGCAAGCGAGAGCTCTAACCACTGAGCTACAGGACTCCACGTTTAGTGTTCACAGCGAGCTATGAATAGCTCGCTGTGAATAGTTTATTCACAATTGTTTTACAAAATGTTTTCATGACTACAGTTTCCTTTAGAAGCTGTGGGTCTCCTGGTGGTGTAAAGATATGTGTCTGATAACGGTGATTAATTGAAGTGGGTGCTGACCAGATAGTGAAAAGTGTCAAAATGACAAAAAGTGTCCCAATCAAGAGGCCAGCTACCTCCAGGCACAAGTTTGAAATACATTTTTAATGTTTAAATAATATAAAGAATTTCAGACTCTTGCCTCTGTGTGCCTCTGTGCCTCCATTCATGGCCGGCCCAGCTGTGAGATATTGTCCGAGTTGGAACAAAGGGCTGTTTTCTTTCTGTAAATTCCTCTTAAGAGAATAAAGTAAATTCCACCAATGTTTGTTGCATGCAACCATTTCAATTTCTTCTGAAGAACAAAGGCCCCACAGATCGGCAACAGATGCGCAATACTGTGATGGTATCAATGGCTTGGTGCAAGTTTTGCTAGGTTTTAAGAGTTAATATTAGAGTGTGCTTAATTTTATTTCCATCGGAGTGCTTTGCATCGACATATTCCAATTTACATATGTGTAGCTGACCAGCACTAATACCACAGAGATTGTTTAGAGCTGCTGTGGTTTATTTGTGAAGTTGATTTCTGAAGAATCAATGACTGCTCTCAATTAAGCTACTTTCTGAAAGGTGGCGTTTACCACGAGAGATATAAAAATAATGTTCAGCTAACTATTCTGCTAGTCATTGGATCATTTATTTAATACACTTGGGAAAATATTTTTTGCAGAGACTTTTGTTCTTGTTGAAATATATTAAGCTTCAGCAATTTTGTCACAAGCAATGGTCTCTATTAAGTGTTTTGAATAGTGTAGTGCTGTGTTGTAAAGAAATTTTGCACTTTATAGTGATGTGGGGGGAATGGATACTCTTTTGTCTTTCTTTCCTTGAATGTTTAATTGTTTTTTTTTACACAGCGCCCCAACCTGCCTCAATGAAAAAATTGGTTTGGTGACCCGAAATGTTTCAGCTTCTTAGATTTAGGACTATTGTTTTGAAAAAATTAAGATAGTGCAGAGTTTTGAAAAACAGTCTTAACTTCAGTCATAATTTGAAAACTGAATTTCTGGAGTACTCAAAATAAAACCGATAATAATTCCAAAAGTAAATCCAAGTTTCAGGAACCTAGTACACCTTGTTTCAGCCTTTTAGCATTTTGTTTACCAAAATTTTAGATCATGCAGGAAGGTGTGCATTTCTGAAATCCAGTCTTGATCTGTAAACCATTTTTCCATAGTTCTTAAAAATAGACTTATGTTCCAAATTATGACTGAAAATTTAACAATTTTCTGCAGTTCTATGAGAGCTTAAACTTTAAGATGAAATAGCCTTATGCGTAGAATTTATGAATTTATAAATTTAGAATTTATAGAATTTAATGCGTAGAATTTGGGGTCTCCTGAAAGTGCCTTGTTCCTGCTTTCTGCTGTGGAGCGGCTGAAATATTTGATTACACCTCAGGCTGCTTGTCAAGTGCTCCGGGGCGCTACCCTGAGTGAAGGGTGATATATAAATGCACGTTGTTGTTGTAAGCAAGGAAGACAATCCAGGGTATCACTGGACCTAAAGTCAGAGGTTGCACGTCCTAAAGTGTCCACTCCTAGAAGGACATAAAGAATCAAGCAACTTACAAACCAGCTGAGCAAATACACAAAAATAATACTGTGTGGTCATATTTCTTATTTATTTTAAGCTGAATGAATATAGCAAAGAAAAAAGAAAACTTGCTTCATTTTCTGCTATAATTATTTGTCACTAAATATTTTAAGTGACACTTTTGTTCAATTTGGGTAGAATGTTAAAAGTTTCTTTACTTTATCTCCATTTACTTGAATCTATTTGTTAAAGTGATTTTGGAATCAATTTCCGAGTTTCAGGAATGTCTGTGCAGATCTAAGCTGATCTCAGTTTGAGATCCTCCCTGCACACATCAGAATAAGTACATTTTTATTCTGAATAAACAATAAGCATAAACTCAAACTCAAAGTCTGTTGTATACCAGGCTGCATTTAATTGTAACATCACAGGCTATTCAACGCAGCTTAACACAACATGATAGAAATAACATTCAAATGTGTTCCCTTCCCCCACTGGCCTCATGCTGCATTGAATTTACATTACCAGGTTCATTATTTGACATTAAATGAGAATTTACAGTATTGTTCCATTGACATTTATAAGAAGGCATATGTCTATCTTTCATAGATCTTACAGAAGAATATGCGCTCACTGTGGAAAAATTACACAACCCACAATGTGGTTGCTCCAATTGACGCACACAATAGTGACCACGTTGGCTTGAATTTCAATTTGTCACTTATTTCCTTATACCCGTAAAAGAATGAAATCATTACTAGTGGGTGAATGTCGAATGGTTGGGTTGCATAGGTGGTCTTTTTATCTCCACAATTGGTGATTTGAGTTGTGCCATAGGATCTTTACCGTCCACCTGAACATGCAAACAGGGCCTCGGTTTTGATGTCTCATCCGAAGGACAGCACCTCCAACAATGCAGTCCCCACCCACCCATCACACCGGGTGCATTGGAGTCTCAGCATTGATTCCACGATTTCCAAGCCCATCATATTGCTGATACTCAACAACAATAGCAACTTGCATTTATATAGTGCCCTTCATGCGGGGTAGTGTCCTGGAGCGCTTCACAGTGGCGAAGTCTAACTCCGCGCCAGGGGGAGAGGGAGGGGGGGAGTGACTGTAAGCACGATCAAAAAGGAAGGTGTTTATGTGGGATTTGAAAGTGGGGAGGAACAGGGTAAGGTGGATGGATTGACTGAGAGTTCCAGAGATTCAGGGCGTAGTGGCTGAAGGCACGGTTATCGATGGTGAAGTGGAGGGGACGAGGGACAAACAGGTAATTGGGAGCCAGTGGAGCCTGGCAAGCATGCAATGAAAGGATAACATTT